CGAAGGTACACATAAGAAAGCAAAAGGGCCCGTCTCTACTGATGATTTCCCCAGGGCCTTCAGATTCAATCAACCCATTTGACAAAAATAGGATAGCTGGGTGGGAAATATCTCTCTCCAATAATACCATAAAAAGAACAAGCACTCAGAGGGGATATTGAAGTTTGACAGTAAGAGGATATCTCATCTGTTTGAATTCTTCTTTCACACGAGCCCATGGTGTCCTCCATCTTGAGCAATCTCTTTTCCTATTTAATATCTGTCAGAGTCTGTTTATCACAGAAGACACAATGCTAGCTATTATGATCGTGTTGGTAGATGAATAAAACAAAAGGAGTGTTTTTCAAACAAGCGGTTGAGTGACACATAAAAACAGAAACACTTGTTTCTAATAGGTGGATACAAAAGCTTTCCAGAGGTCAGGAGGGAATGAGGGAAGACTTCAAAATGTGTGGAGTTTAATGATGGCAGAAAGTAGCCGAACTGGCAGGGAAACAATTATTTCTCATTGGCGTCCAGGCGTGTTTTCAGTGTGTGTAAAGTCAGCCTGCCAGACAATGGGTTAGTTTTTGAATCAGAGTCAAGGTGGATCTAACTGAACACACATCCTATTTTAACCCTTGTGTTATCTCCTTGGGACACAAGGGTTAAAAAAAGCATCTAAGGAAGGACACACATCAGTCAGTGTTGGAGCTAAAGTATAGGAACCCAAAAGAACAGACCTGCTTTCAGCAAAATCTTTTTTTTTTAATGGTTAAAACACTTAACAAAAACATATTTTCTCCCTATCTTTTCCTGTCATTCATAGCTTTCAGGCAAAAAACTGTCATGGAGCAGTGTTTGTGGATGTTAGTGTGTGTGTGTGTGTGTGTGTGTGTGTGTGTGTGTCTGTGTGTGTGTGAAAAAACAATTGCCAGAGAATCAAAGGTGCTTGTTCAATACTTTGTTTTGTGTCTGTGGGCAAAACCTAGGTGTAGCCGTGATAATGCTGCATGCTCAAAGAGTGCCTGGTTCTTGTTTCACTTCTAAACATGCATGAGAATAAATGTCATGTCTGAGGGGCTGATATATCAACCCTGCCAGTACTTCTACACTGGGGGGGACAGAAGTTGCTCATCATTACCAGAGCTGCGGATGCTCTGCCAGAAAAATGAAGCATTGCTGATATGCTAATCCCAAGCATGAGATCCATCTTTCCATTCATTTTGTCTTTGGAGGTATTTGTCACACAACAACACGCAAATGTTGTGCATTGGCTGTTGTTCATTAGCTGCTAACATGCAAATCCAGTGACTAAAGATCCATTGTTTAGCAGTGATTATTTAAATCCTTGCTCAAAACAGTGGTCAGAAGGGGCAGAATAAAAGTTCCACTCACAATGAGCAGAAAAATGTCAGCAAAGCTATTAAAGCCAAGTTGGAAATTAAATCCATGCATAATGGGTTGAATGACACAGAAATTCTCATTCAGAAACTATTTCCTCGCACCAGCGGGAGGAATAATGTCACAAATTTGTCTCCCTGTGTGCTTGGAAGTTGCAAAGCATTTTTAATGCACTTCATTTTAACATTAAGACTTTATATTAGCAAGACCAAAAGCTTTTGCTCTTCTCTGGCACCAGAGCCATTCCAAGTCTTTTATATTTCCATTTAATTGCACTGGTTCATCAATTTAGATTTAACAGTTCTCTTTGTGGAATCACTTTATGTAAATTAAAAGCAAAGACAGCTCGTTCCACAGGATGGCACTTTTAGCAGATTTGGGACCCACTGCTGGACCGAGAAAAACCAGGACGGTGTGAGCATTAGAGACCACGATGCTCAAACCTGTGCCTCGTTGCAGTGGAAATAACATGTAGACATAACGCTGGTCTGACACATCACCAACTTCTGGTTGGTGGATCTCTTTTTTTTCTCACACCTTTATTATACGATCAGGTACATTTTTTCCTTCGATATATTGACTGAGAATCAATATCATTTAGTGAATTACCTTGTAAATCTTTGAGCAAACTATACATCATGGATAATTTTGTTAGCTCACAGGACTTCCTCATGAAGACTTTTGTCTGTCTATCTTACACTTTAATGGCTTTGTTCATGTTGTCTTTAAGCCCCAGTTAGGATTTCTGATAATCATATAAATCCATAATCTACCATCATCTCCTTGAGCATATGATAGGTAGTAATTAGCTGATATAAGGACTGGTAAAAACATTCTGTTTTATTGCTCTTCAGTATAATGGAGTAAATGGACACTGTTTTTGACCAAACTGTTGTTTTCCCGGCCGAAGTGGCTGGGCCTCGACTCGAATCCTGTTAGCTCTGTAAGGAGACTGAATCAGTCTTAGCTAACTGGTGCGGTCACTCAGCCTGCTGGGACAAAAGAGAGGAATGTACACATGAGAACAAAGAACTCACCTCAGGGCTTAAGGTATCTTTAGATTTACCCTGCTCACGCACACAAACACACACACACACACAGTCGGCATCTTGCTTCCGCTCCTCTTGCTATAAAGTGATACAATCTTTTATTAATGTACTGTGCTTTTGGGTTGACATGGAGACCATTTTAATGATTAATCTGAAAGAAAAGTGCTCATTGTGCCCTCAAAATGTAAAAGAAACCCCACAAGAAAAAATATACTTTTATCAGATGGATGCATGTCAGAAAGATCTTTATCGTTTCCTGTGTGAGTTTCAGAAATATTCTTTAAATCCTCAGCTGAAGCTGAGCACGTGACTAAATTTGTTTGTTTTTTTATGATATCCAAGGTGTCACTGATTAATATCTAAAGACCTCAGTATATAATATCTAAGATTTATGTGTTTGTTTTTTCAGGTAATATATGTTAAAGTTTCTAGCAGTTACAAATATTTATGCTCGCCTAACAGCAGAGGGTTCCCTGCTTTGTGTTTGCAATGTTCTCCTTGTGTCTGTGTGGCGTTCCTCCCAAAGGCCATAAAGATGCATGTTAGGTTAACTGGTGAGTCTAAATTTCCCCCTTGGAGGGAATGTGAGCGTGTGTGTTTTTTTGTCTCTGTGTGTTTGTGTGATCAACGGCCGACCTGTTCAGGGTGTACCCCACCTGTCACCAGATGTCAGCTGGGATAGGCTCCAGCTCTCCTGTGTCACTATGAGCAATAAGTGGTATGGACAATGAATAAATTAAGGTGATCCATTTTGCTGATGAATATCTGCCGGAAAAAAAAAAGACTCGGAAATGTACTTCACTTGGTTCCTCTACTTCTTTTTTTTTCTAACCAGGAAAATACAAAAATTTAGCATGTGGAAAAATATATACAACAAACACAACACAGGTTTAAGTTTTGTAAGCAGAGGTCACACGTGGTTGACTGGTTGTGTTCAAACTTTGTCTCCTTCAGGTTACAAATAATAAAAAATCTTTCATAAATCTGCTGAGGCTCCTGTAGTTGCAAGTGGTTCATTAGAATTAATTAAAAATATCGAGACTTCTCTTGTAATCAGTTTGGCCTTGTAATTAGGGAGAATGGCAGGGAATAATGCAGCTGTGCAGTGTAGGGGGCACCATGGAGCAGGGAGGGGGGAGGAAGGTTGATGGGAGTGCTGCTGAATACTAAGAGACTTGCTCCTTCCATGCAACAAAAGAACAGATGTCCTTCCTGAGTCAGCGTGCCTTCTGCTGCAGGACTGTTTTTAATGCATTTGGCTTTACTGCTTTCTTTGTCTTCCTATAGCTGAGTTTTAAAATGAGCGAAAAATCCAAAGTACACATTATGCTTTTTCTGGAAAAACATAGTTTTTTTGCTTCCATAGCCTGTGAATGGTATTTCAAATGTACTGTGGAACTTCTGAATATCTTATATCTAAGTTATCTATATTTCATCATTTATTGTCAATTCACTTTTTTCTTTTCCTAACTGTGTAGATTTATTTTCACTGTCAAGGATCATTGCACCTCCATTGTTTTTTACTTTGTTAACCAGCATGTCAGTTCCCTTAAAGATACTAAAATTAGGTAATGATCATTAAGTGACAGTGGTCGTCACCCCCGAAACCCTTCATTCTCGCTACCGAAAGGTCAACTATCTCCAGTCACGGAGGTCCAGCCAGTATTTGGTCAGAGAGAGTCATGGAGGTTAGACGACAAGCTCAGCATTGACCGGCCTTTGTCCTAATGAAGTGCCTGTTATCTTCAGCCTGAGTAATGACACAGAGGAGAGTTCTGCTGGGAGCACTACTCACCATCAGGGTGGACTCTCAGAGACTGTCTATGCTACGACCAGAACACAAAGCCAGGATGCATTTGAGGTTTTTATGCTTTATTTTTAGGAATATACCGTAAATATATCTCAGTGAATATAGTTTGTTGTGTTAATCATCTTATAAAACATAACCCACAGGGAGAAAAATGCACAATTTACTTGTTTTGACGACACATTTTTGAGGATGTTGACTGGTCTATTGTAGTACAGCAACAGACATTTTAGAATTGGTTTTCTTTTTTAATTCAACATTTGTGACAGGGCTGCACATGGCCATTACCATTCAACATGGTTCCTTGTTGACTTGTGCCCAGTTAGCAATTATGTCTGGTGTACTTATGTAAATCAATGTATGTGACAGTGGAAAGCATACATTTTCATGAAAGAAAATGTCAGATATATGCTGGTTTGGCTACTTTTTGGAAAGATTAGGGCTTCTTCTAAGGCAGGCTTCCTTTTCCCATTCAGCATTAAAAGTATAAGAAATCTCTCAGATGTTTAATCTGTCCTCTCTTTGAGTTCCTCTTGGAGCCAAGACTTCAGAAGGCTCTGGCTGTGGTTTAATATTATATCAATGTAAGAGAGCTTTGGTTTAGTTAAAAAACAGAAAAAACAGTCTGCTTCCATGAATTATTGTATGTTTGAACTCGCGTAACTTTTTTTTTTGTTGAATCCTTTGAGCCACAAGCTCAAAATCTGTTGGGGGGTTGTTGCCATGAACACAGCCGTTGAATTTTTGTTTTTCTTTTTCATATGTTGCAGCGGGACGCTAAAGGACAGTATCTGTTTGACCTCATCTGCCATCACCTGAACTTACTAGAGAAAGACTACTTTGGCATCAGATATGTGGATCCAGACAAACAGCGGGTAAGTGTTTCAGAGTGTTAACGCGTGTGTGTGCATGATTATTTTAGAGACCATCTTCACGATAAGCTGTTTTTGATAAAAGGGAAAATATATTTTAAGAAAGAAAATCATTTAAAAAGGAAACCGACAATGACATACGGTGTGCTTAGGTAATCTAAAGATTATCTGCACAGGGATGTGATTTTGTTGCCTCACCGCAAGTAGGCTCCTGCTTTTAATTTACATAATTTTATGTTCTCCCACTATATGTGTTTGATATGATTTCTCTCTACAAACCCTCTACAAACATGCACCTTAGGTTCACTGGTGATTCTAAATTTACCTCATGATTAAGTGTGAGTGTGATGGTTGCTAGTCTCCATGTTGATGCTGTGATAGGCTGGCAACCTGCCTCTCATCTGATGGCAGCTGGGAAAAGCTCCCGCGATTCAGGGCAAAATTAAGTGAGTGTGGAAATGGAAATGTTAAGTGCATTGGTAAATAGTGCATCTAATGGAAGTGGTTTCTTGTTCTTGTATGCCTATGACTTTCTCAAATGTGACTTATGAATGATTTCATTCATTTCTGTGATGCCTTGAAAATGACAGGCATAGCTGTCTGTAAAGAACTGGAACGAGATTGTAGCACAAAGTGAAAAGTTGTGTTGTGTTCGTCAGGCGCCTCTTCCGTGATGCATGTAGCTGTTCGACTTGATTAATTAAGTATTAATATGTCAACAAATTCTAATGTAGCTCTGCAGATGAGAGCCAACTCCCGCTGAAGCTGCATATCCCATGCAGTCACTCAGAACTATTTTGGTGGTTGTTGCCATGTGTGGGTTGAGTTGGGCGAGAATGAAACTTGGGACAAAGATGCAGAAAGAATGTGGCTCGAGTGAGAATGAAGCATCTCATTTTGGTCATGAAGGCATAGAAATCCTCTCCGGAGTTTTCTGCACGGTAAAAAATGTGCCTTCCTGCTTTAACAGGATATTTAGAGGTCCCTTTCATGTGGAACAGAGCCGTTTAACATAGTTTCCTGGAAATATTTGATGGTTTTCATCAGAAAGCACTGTGGATTGTCTCTGTTTAAAGTAGCTTTGACATATTTGACTGCACACTCATGAGCTGTTATAACACCATGTGAAAACTGTCAGTAGTAACAGCTGAAGATCATGGCAACTGAGAGTGAAAGTGGCATCCTTAATGACATGATGTGTGGATTTCTTACTGCGGAAGTTTGTGAAACTGAATTATTTTTGCACCTGTTTTTTCTGTCTAACGCAGCACTGGCTGGAGCTCCCAAAATCAATTGCGAAGCAAATGAAATGTAAGTGCCCACAGTGTATGATGATGAGTTAAATCTTTCACCTTCATTAAGTATACTTTTTAATTAACTCTGCATAAAAAGCGTACTTAACCCAATTTCCAGATTAAAAACCGAACAAGATGTTTCTGACTAATAGAATAGTTTTGCCCACCTAATTCTCCTGTGCACTGTTTGATATGGTAACATGAAAAAACTGTTTTCTAAATGTTTTCTATGTGTTTCCTGTAGCTCAGCCTCCATTTACTATGTGTCTCAGACTCAAGTTCTACCCTCCTGATCCTGCTGCCCTCAAGGAGGAAATAACTCGGTAGGACCTGTGGCGTTGTTCACCTCGGACTGATTGATGCCTTTTGCTTCCATTGCCATGATTTAGTTTTGATTCACCAGAAAGGGACACATTTGTATTTTTTTTTTTTAAAGCAGACTGTCTTTCCTGTCTTCACATATGATTTTGATACTTTGGCAGGATGTTTGATTAAGATTTTGATAATACACACCATGATTAAAAATGCTTGGCCTCTTGAGTCTAAAACATGATAAATATTACAGATAACATGGTTTTAAAGTTGTGTTGTAAAGCAAACATGAACATTAAAGCCTTTCTTGGGAGCTCTCTGAGATTAAGAATAGAGAATTACAAGCAGCATCATTCGAAATTGCTGGATGATATGTTGCCCCACACATCCACACTTGGTGAGTGTATGTGTGCTCATGCTTTACCACTAACTGTATGGCGAGGAGTCCACTCTCTGAGGTGTAATGAGATGCAATGTGCACCACATGTAGAGAGTACATAATAACCAGAGTGGATGGAAGAGATAGGGGGCAAGGGGCGCTGATTGAAAGTGTGAAAGGAAAGGAGGAGTGGGAGGTAGAGGACAGAGTGATACATGATTATGACAGTAAAGAGGTCAGAGCACACGGGGTGGGAGAGGATAATCAGTTGCATGTCGTTTTTTTCAGTTTCTGTTCATAGTCTTGAATTGGAGAAAACCAAAAAACTCAAAAAGATCTGTCAGCCTTTGCAGAAAATGTAAAGATGCCATGCTCTCTATTGTCTTCATTATCAACAATTTCACATCTTATTACAGAAGAAAATGCAACATGCTTTCTCACATTTTGAAAAAGCTAATTTGAAAAGCCAAGCAAGCAGGTAGAGCCGCTGTTTTTCTGCTCTGTGTTTAGGCTCATATCTGTAATAGCATGAAAACATCAGCAGCACACTGGATCATTGAATGTTAAGTCAACTTAGATTGACAGCTAAGCCGATACATTAATAAAATAAACAAAATGAGTCCAGAAGAAAGAGGATGTGTTTGGCCAATTGTGGAATTTTCTGAAAACAGATGTTCAATAATTCTGCAGTTAGGCCCTAAAAGGAGAGGAATAATGTGAATAATAGTCATCATCTCTGTCACTTTCATAATCTGTGCTGCAAATTCAATCCATTCATCCACTGCGTTGCATTTCCTGCCTTATAAGCTGAGTGGTTGGGCGAGGCTGAAACTAGGCTGGAGACTTTAAGAGAGGCATCAGGAACAGCATCTCCCTCAGGGCCTTCCTATCCTCCTATTCCCAAAACAAAACCCTTGTTTCAGCTAAATCAAAAGGAAATATTCAAGCAGCCACGGGGAATGTGATCCCAACGTACAGCTTGTGAAGCTGCTCCAACTCTAACTTCTTCAGGTGGTTTTATTCCTGATGTGTATCCATCAAGAAATGTAGATATTAAAGAGTGCCAAGAGGATTCTTGTAAGCACCTAACAGGTTTGTTTTTATTGTAGATATCTTGTCTTCCTGCAAATCAAGCGAGACCTCTACCACGGACGTCTCCTGTGTAAAACCTCAGATGCAGCCATGCTGGCAGCCTACATCCTTCAAGGTAATTGAAAGTGACAGATGGAAATGACTTGTACCACTCTCAGCTTGTCACTCTTCTCAGCCTCTGTGTCATTATGCTCTGCAGTTCGCCATGCAGATAAAACAGCAATGTAAGCAAACTGTTTTTCCCCAGGAAATGGTCTTAATATGTAAAAAAAAAAAAAAAATCTGTCGCTTATTTACACAAAGCTTTCAGACATGTATTTGTCTTTTCCTTTTCTGGGTTTCAAAATTCTAAGCGGTGTGATAATTGGCTTGATGATTCAGTTATGTCTCTTACCACCCACAAAAATTATGTAGTGGCACAGCAATCTTTTACAGAAAGCACAGTGATGTGAGGGGCAGGTCCTCTGGAGGTGGGGATGATGAATTAAAGATGTGCTGCCTGGTCAGCTTCTCCTTGCCGAGAGAAATCAACTTCAGGTTCATGTGAGGTAGTGCACTGTGGCATGAAGGACCACAGCCTACCCAGGACATGTATAGCTTGTGCTGGTTGATCTGCATATTTGTTTACAAGTTCATTTTCTCTGTGTCGCCCTACAGCTGAGATTGGTGATTACGACCCCGGGAAGCATCCTGAAGGCTACAGCTCTAAATTCCAGTTCTTCCCAAAACAATCAGAGAAGCTGGAGCGCCGGATTTCAGACATACACAAGACAGAAATGATGTAAAACACGAGACTGTTTCCCCTGCACTATTTGTTTTCTCTACAGAGTTACGTGTCACTAGATCACACACCAATTCAAGTCCGGACAGACTGTTCCTGACATTCATACAGTTGACTGTTTTAGTGTAGTCATCTTTCAATTGTCAATTATTTCAAAAGATAGAAGAAAGAGACCTTCCCTCTCCCTCTCCGTCTCTCTCTTTCTACATTATCCATTCATGTAATTCAGTTTTAGAGAATGTAGCTTGCCCGTAGCTCCAAATCAGACACAGCATAGGTTTAAGTAATCTAGTAGATCGGGCCTGTGCTGTCAGGTAGACAAATGTGTCCATTTTCACAGATAGCTTTGGACCTGATGTTAGTTCATACATCAATTACTACCTATGATAGCCCATTAATTATATAATGCCTTGAATATATCTATAAGCCACTTTACTTTGTTGTGTTGGTTAAGATCTTATAAACGTCTAGTTTGACACCAAAAGCAAACAAAAGATGTCTGTTAAATGACACTCAGTGAGACACAATAGGGGCAGAATTGAATTAACATAGTGATTTCGATGTTGAATGACAAATAGTATGACACTCTGCTGCCCACTTGTGGTTTCTTCTCTCCTCACCACAAAGTAACCACAGTGAAAGCAAACACAAATGACTCACATGTTTCTGCTTAAGTTCAGTCTTTCTAAATTAATTTTATCATCGAAAATTGACTAATTTCTGCTTAAAATGTGTGATATATTACGTCTTTAATGTACATAATGGACTGACGCAAGCAATTGCTTTTCCTCAGTGGCCAGACACCTGAAACATCAGAGCGAAATTTCCTGCAGAAGGCCCAGATGTTGGAAACATATGGTGTTGATCCACATCCATGCAAGGTTGGGTGGTGTTTTTCAGTTAACGGCAAACTATTTTTTTTATAATGAGCATTACATGTTTCTCATCAACCGAAACGTGTAAAGGTTCAATGTTCACAGAGTAAACACAGCGAGCACCGACACTTTTATATTTGAGTTATATCTAAATGCGGTTGTTTATTCTCTAATTGTGCATTTCAGGATGTGTCCGGGAACCCTGCTTTTCTCGCCTTCACGCCATTTGGTTTTGTGGTGCTCCAAGGCAACAAGAGAGTTCACTTTCTGAAATGGTGAGAAATGTGTGATATTGTTGTTATTTTGGTTGAGGACAGCACTTAACTGTAAATAATAATTCTAAAGAGGCTTCGGTAGTTCCAATTTGATATATCTGTCCTGCAAGATAGTCGACATGAAACAGCTGCATGTCGGTCGGACATCCTGACCCGTCCATGACCCTTCTGTCGAGAGCTGGAGGCTGGCATGTGCACAGATAACTGATTAGTGCAGCTTATTTCACTGACAAACCCAGGAGAGGGAGGGGACTTGATGTCTACTAAACATGGCTACTAATGATGTTGAAATGCTTGTCTTCTTAGGTAATGCATTTCTGTTTCATTGTGCTTACTTTTCACTGAGGTGGTCCCTGTGAACCACATAAAGCCGCACATGTTCTAAAACACGATGGCTGTTTGTTTTCCTTCAGTCGCACAAAGGTTCCCCTCATTCCGCATTCCGCGTCTGTGGGGAATATTATCACTAATATGTTTTGTCAGCTAAACATGGAGCACCTTGACTGTTTATGTGATCTCAAAGTGGTTGTCATGAATATTTAAAGAGGCTGTTGCTTTCTGTTTCTGCTGGCTGTGTGTGTAACCGTTACCGCGCTTTCCCCTGCGCAGGAATGAGGTGACCAAACTCAAGTTCGAAGGCAAGACTTTCCACATATATGCAAATCAGAGAGAGGTGAGAGCATACTTTGGTGGGCGTAGGGAAAAGCCTGGATTGACCCAGTCTACAGAGTGTGGCTTATGTTGTCCTGCACACCCTCTTTATTTCCAACATGCAGGACAAAAAGATCATCTTGACATACTTTGCACCGACACCAGAGGCATGCAAGCACCTCTGGAAGTGTGGAGTGGAGAATCAAGCTTTTTACAAGTGAGTCCACTCTGTCCTTTCACCCTGACATCATGTAAGGGTTACCGTCCCTCTATCGCCACGAGCTGTCAGGCGTGGCTACATCATGGTGCCCTAGTCCTTAAAAGCTCTTCCCTTCAGGTTGTTTATCAGTCCAAAAATGAGGTGCGAGTGGATGCTGACCTTTAGTGAAGAACTGCTCATGGCAGGAGGCTGCCAGTGCTCCAGTGTTTGTTCTGAGATACGGCTTTCCTGCTATTAATAATAGCTCAGCTCGCCCTCTGCTCTCTCCATCTCAGGGAAAATGATTAACAAAAACAAGGAGTGTGTATAGAAAATGTGCAGAGGAAATTGCAAAAAACAAAATTTGAACTTACTCCCTTTTTTTTTTTTAGATCTTATTGAATAGGAAGACCTAGAATTAGAAACACAAACAATTCTTGCATTTGTCATAAGAGTTACGTATGAAAAAGATGTGTTTTCTGGAAATGCCACAAATGCAAATGGGACGTAAACATTAATATTTAACTTGTTTTGACGTCGTAAACATATTTAAGACTGGAGTTGTGTTTTGAAAGCAATGCTTGTAGTCCAAGGAGATTATATATATAATTCAAGCATAGGCTATTTTATCTTAGTTTATTCCTTGTCCTGTGATCCAGAAAACAGCTGATTGAATTGCAGACACACTTTAAATGCTTCATCATAAAAAATCTGTATTCTTCAAAGGTCAAAGCATGTATTTTACTTCCTCCGCCTTTTTTTATTTGGTGCATTGAAGTGATTTCTTTTTTTCCCCCCTCCAATCAGGCTTGAGAAGTCAAGTCAGGTTCGCACAGTGTCCAGCAGCAACTTGTTCTTCAAGGGCAGCCGTTTCCGCTACAGGTAGAGTACAAGTCAAGGCAGTCTGACTGATGACAGGTAGGGGAGGACACTGCAGAAAAGCCCCAAGTGCATATGGACAGAAGACGTGGCCTCCTGGCCTTCTGTACCGCTAAGTCAGGTGGCCTCTGCCTGGAGGCTTGGACTAGCACCTCACAAGACAGAAGGCCCAGAGGAGGAATTAAAAATGCACATTTACTTAGTGTCAGACCCAAAGCGCTCATTTCAGGTACAACAGACTTTAGGTTTCTTGCAAGCCATAACATTGCAAGTAGTTCTTTTCCATACATTCTCTGAAAATAGGCCATTTTAAAAAGAGAACGTGGTTAATTTGACTTTAACTTAATTTGATTTATCTTCAAATATGCATTAAGAGAGAGATGACAGTCATTGATTTGATTTAAAGTGCCTATCTGTCAAAGGTCATGACATGTTTCCAAGTCAGTTACAGGCTGAGTTTACTGTTGACGGGCATACCATGATCATTGATTTGATTTGTTTACTTGCGAGTGTGTGTGTGTGTGTGTGAGCATTTGTCTAAACGGTGGTGATTCAGTTACTCAGAGCTGAATTCACCGGGTTGATTCAATCATGATATGCTTGTACTGTACTCATCCACTGCAGTGATGGATTGCGTAGCATTGGGTGAGAGCATGATTCCAAGTCATGTGTGCGCGTATGCGGGACTCATCTTGAGCATCGTCTCTGTGCTTTAACAGTGGGCGAGTGGCAAAAGAGGTGATGGAGCAGAGTGCCAAAATCAAACGCGAACCTCCAGAAATACACAGGTAGAGTTGTAAACTCAGGAGAAGTCAGACTGTTTGATTAGAATTTGATTTGATTTCCCTTTTCCCCATTTTTTTTTGTAGGCCCCAAAACTACATGTGTGTGTCCATATCGGCAGTGCTGACCGGATACAGCATGACCTTTGCTTTTGCTCGTAGCTCAGTTCGGTGACATTTCCTTGCTTGTGTCTGTTTTTGTCTTTGCAGGGCTGGCCTTGTGCCCAGTAGAAGCTGTCCATCTATCACCCACGGGCCTCGGCTCAGCAGTGTGCCGCGCACGCGGCGGAGAGCTGTGCACATATCTATCATGGAGGGTGAGAACTCCGCATCAGCTCTTTTACACATGAGGTCATACAGAGTCAGAGAAACACGGAATTTTTGTTTACGCTCCCTTTTTTTGAGTAAAATCTCACAAGTATACATTGTTCCATACACAAGCTGAAACTTGGACCATTTGGTGGAGTTCACATCAGAGGGGGTTACTGCACGTGTGTGTGTCAGTCAGCCTACCCCCCCACCCCTCAGTGCGGCATTTCTGAGATGTGTATATTTGTTTGTGTTTATGTTGTGTTGACAAGCTGAAAGCTAAAGTCACTTACTCAGGCCACCTGTGGGTTCCCAGCCCAGAACAGGTGGCGTGATTGGGGGGAGGTGGAACACAGCAGGCCTGGAGTCCTGCTGTGCTCCAGGTAAACCTGTGAGCTCTTCTCTGGCTTCCTTTCAACTTTTGCACTCTTCACGCTGACGGACAAACAGAGGCCGGTGGCAGGTGTATTGTGTATATTTGGGGTCCTTCCCTGTGTGTTCAAGAGAGCCACAAGACTTTCCCACTCCTAGAGTGTGCTGACTGGGTGTCTTGCAGCAGTATTAATACTCCGGTTAAAAATAACCGGGGCCGTAGGCTCCATGTATGTCATTGGCCTGGGTGGGGCCAAAGGAGGAGGCCAGTGCTGGTGATCACAGTACCGCTTGCAGAAAAAAACCCGTTCCACCTCCGCCACTGACAACTAAGCTGTAAAAGTGCGGCCCTGGACTCTGGACAGGGGACCATAAGGAAAGGATAGTCAGGTGCACGCTGCAGCCATGGTGAAATGTCTGATCCGCATCACCACCCGGGTGAACGTCCACCTGCGCATGATCAACCACTGCTACCGGGATGTGAAGGTCCGCGTGCTGAGCCTGGGGCCTCGAATGCTGGGCAAGGCCCTGGGCGTGCTGCCCCTCTACCCCTCTCTGACCGGGCACCAGGAGTCAGCCGGGGCCAGCCCTCTTCTGGGTACTCCGCTGCCCTGCGTCCAGCCCCCCGGTACTCCAGGTAAACGTCTTACAAAGCCAGCACCGAGTGCCGTTTACATGGAAATACTCACTTCTTTCTGGAGTTCAAATCCGTCTCAGGCCTGTGTTTGTTTGCAAGATGATCTAGATATTTTTCCTCTGGCTGTTTATGCCTCATGATTCCTGGACATGCTTTAAGCTTTTTTTCTCTTCACACTATTGGTGGAGATGCTTGTTTTGGTTTTAAAAGGCTCTCTCTAAAGGCTGCATTATATTGTGCTCTAGCCATCATTTTCTCAGCGGTATGGTTTGTTTGTTTGGTGTGAGCGTTCCATTAAGTGAAGTTTTTCTCGGGCCCTGAACATGAAGTATGCAAGTTAAATAAGCCCGGCTTGATGTTGCAAGCAGTATGCAGGATTAGCTGAAGGAGATCAGCTTCGGGTAAAGATGGCCGCTGACACCCGTCTGGACATTATGCCTCCTTCTTTTCTCCTCTTCTCCCTGACGAGAAGAGGCTTCATGTCAGCAGAGGCTTTGGCGCAGGACATAATCTCCCCTCAACTTTGCAGACAGCTTTTAAGTCCTTTTCACGATTTGCTTCCTCATGCAAAGCTGAATTTTAAGTACGACTCTTTTATAGTGGTGTAATGTTGCTGCTCTGCCTCTGGAGAATGTGATATCGTCAGCAATGTGCTCAACCATTACTCATCTGCAGTGACATGCACGCTGTTTAGCCTCTTGTGTGCTGTGCTATTGCTTGTGTCGCAGTATGGACACTCAAGCTATACCTTAGAAATGTCCCAAGAATGCTGCCGAATATTTGTGTTTTGATTTAAAAGGACTCAAAGCTAATTGAAGTGTTGGGTCTTCTTTCCTCAAATTAGTTAAATAGATTTTTTTTTTAATAATAAAAAGCAGTGTACATATAAAAGGAATGTATAACCCCTTAATTTCAGGAGACATTTATTATTTTAATTTTGTTTTTGTTTTTAATACTACCGTTCCATTTCAGAAAAACTCCAAATATGGCTCTCAGGTGTTTTGCCTATTCATTTTTCATTTGGTATTGCTTTTTTATGTATATTCAATACATATCTGCTTTTCAAACATCTTGAGTATTTTACCATATCAAGTGACATATTTGGTACAGGTTATTTTTAAATCCTGCCAGTACTTTAGTGTACAAGCATAGCTTGATTTGTCCACTAGTCCCTCGTAAAATGTTCATCAAACTACGACAGTATGTAAGCTTTTTGACAGCTTGAACTCTTAATGGGTTTTTTTTTTTATCGCTGACCAAACACACTTCTTACTGGGCTTGTGTGAGGCACTCCAGTTCTCGTGGCTTCAGGAGGGAGACGCTCTCTTATTGGTGATGATAGTCTTCACATCAGCTTGAGTGCTCTCTCTGTGGTGACCGTTTGACTCTGGGGAAAGCATGATCAGATTGCGGCTGTCCAAATGGAGACGGAGTGTCTGCTGCAGACCTTTACTGGTCAAACAGCCGTGGGAACCTCTTGTACCAGAGCGACTTTACAGTGTGTCACTGAGCACTGTGCCGCCCTCACCAGACAACATTCACACAGTTTCATAATGCAGGGATCTTCTCTTTGGAAAAAAAAAAAGAAGAGAAAAGCCTGTTTTAGATTTATGACATTTTCTTAAAAGCTCGTCTTTGTAAAGATGAAAGTCACCCAAGAAGCTTCTTAGCCCTCAAGAAAGCTGCTGAAGTAACTCTTAAGAGTATGTTGGTGGAGTTTTAAGAGGCTTAGGAATCTCTTATACGGACAACTTTGGTGGCTAACAAATTATAGAGAAAATGTGAGAAACTAATCACAAAACTAAGCAATGGAAAATTAACAGCCATTCAACAGCCAATATATAATTAGTTTTTCATTTGTACATTTCTTGAGTCAGCATTGGGGTTTGCTTCTGTAGAATAGTTTTTTAGTCCAGGTACTAATGATATGGATTTACTGATGCTGTGCAATACAATCCAAAGCCCCTGAATGATGTCACTTTGGCTAAAGGTGTTTCAGAAATATGGAACACAAATGAAAAGAGTTGTTTTTCAGCCTCACCTCTCTTACATGCAAAGCTAAATTGAAATACTTAGTTAAATGAATAAAATAGGTCCGTGTGCGTGGAATAAAGATCATTGTGACAAAAAGAGAATAGCAAATAGCTCATTATAATGCAGTGAGATGGACATTCCTCTGTAAACCCAGCATGCACTGGGTGTTGGGAATTACATTAAAAGTGTCAATTACACTTCTCAAGCTTCTGTTATAAGATTTGCTATGACAGTCATTCATAGTGATGATGTTTTTAAGCATGAGAAGGCCTTCTTTAACTGACAGATGTAGTCTGTATGTTGGTAGACAGGTTTCCTGACGGTAATCTTCGACTGAGCCATACGATGTTTGTAATGTGTCTTTTTTAAACCAGGTCTGGAGTCTCTCCGTGACAGTGCCCACTCCACGCCGGTGCGCTCGGTGTCCCACGGGGACTCCTTCCTGCCACGCTCCCGGAGCCAGGCCGCGGATGCCAGCGAGGGGATGGCGGTCATCTCGGACGAGGCCTACAGTCCATCCGACAGTGTCCTTCCCACCCCGGTGGCCGAGCACAGCATGGAGCTAGCCTTATCTCGCCAAATCAACGGGGCACCCTGCAGCATCGAGGAGGAGAAGGAGTCGGAGGCGGGCACGCCCACAAACGGAGAAGGGGCTGACTTGGGGGTGGACGGTAGGTCTGGACAGGAGGGTGCAGGCGGGGACTCGGCCCTCAGCGAGGTGGAACAGGTGAACAAGTTTGTCTTAAGTGTCCTGCGCTTGCTCCTCGTGACCATCGGACTCCTCTTTGTGTTGCTCCTACTTCTCATCATCCTCACCGAGTCAGACCTTGACATCGCATTTCTCAGTGACATCCGCCAGACCCCGGAATTTGAACAGTTTCATTCTGAATACTTTTGTCCCCTCAGGCGGTGGTTTGCCTGCAAGCTCCGCTGGGTGGGCGGTTTGCTCATTAACAAGTGAGCGTGGGCTCGTAGAGTGGGTACGCTCTTTCGGGGGTCTGAGACACCGGTTAGGACTCCAGAGTGATGGAGGGCAGCCTCGTCCTAACCATGAACCCTGCTTCTCTCCTCCTCTTCCTGCTGGCACACAGCCTGGACCACCCCTGGTAACATCAAGCCAGGATCTCCAAACCCCCAACCCCTCCACTTTAACTTTGAGTTGCCCCACCCTTCAGTAAAACCACCTCCTTCTACCGATGTTCTATTTTACCTTCCTTCCCCCATGAAACCTGGAACCTTTTTTTTCTTTTTTTTGGATCATCTAACTCATTTAAACTTTTTTCTCCGTTTTTTTTCAAAAACACAACAGAAAAAGAAAGACTAAGAACTAAAGAATTACAGACTGCTCATTTAACGGACGATTCTGTTGCAACAGATTAATGTTGCATTCATTATTTATTACTTTCAAACATATATTTGCATAAGAGAAGGAGAAGAGCTAATGAATGGTAATCAAGGAAGTTGATTTGAAATGATGAAGGTAAGTTATGCATCTGCTGTGAAGAAAGGTTAAGTCATGTGTGTTGAGACTAACATCCCCATCAGAGGACAAACAGCAGCTTAACTTCATTTGAAAGAGACGAACGGTGCGATGGGAAAACAGAGAAGGTTTTTAAAACGGGAAACAGACAGGGTGATTACCAAATGCCTTTTTTGAAAAGATATTGACTGTTTAGAACTTTTTGGATTGTTTAGGACAATTATAACTCAGCCTACAGTCGCATACAAGGTCAGCTGATGAAGATCAAGTAGTTTTTCTAACATTTTCTAAGAATACAGTGATATAAACCAGTAGTGATACGTGTCCTGGTAGTGTCTGATGCAGTTAGAGAAATGCTCACGATGAGTGAAGATTCACTGGCACCAATAGATAATAGCCTTGATAGATGTGCAATGCTGATATGATTTTAAAAACTCATTACTTTGAATGTGCTCATTTCTTCAGTTATTTTCTTATTTCTCCAACTCTCTAAGTTGATTCACATATTTTCATCAAATTGAAATTTGATGAATTTCAATTATTTCTTTTTATGAAGAGTTTGATCTATTTTGGTTTCCTATCAACCTTGCTCTTAGATTTATGTATCATACTATATTATTACTGCTAGAGTAAGAGTAATGATGTACTTTTTGTACAGATTAGTTTGTTTCCTAATATATATTGACAGGTTTTTCCATGTATATTTTAATAGAGCCGAAATGTTATTTTGTTATTGAAGATTAAATTATACCTTTTTTAGCGCTGTGTTTCAAGTGAGGACAGAAACATTTATGGAACTGTTGAAATGGGTTGAAAAAACCAAACAGCTTTTATCCAGATCCACACATCCCACAACTCCAACAACAGTCAGTCAGCGTGTGCACGTTTATGACCGTGTTCAGTGAGTATTCACGTCAAACGAGATCCGTATGCATCAGTCCAGTGTCACAAACAATCCAAAAATACATTTCTGTACTAACTTTAATAGGTTTTCTTGTACTTGAAGAGGATGGGGAGGTGACTGTGAGCTGACCGGTTTAATCCATTTACTGCCAAATGAACAACCCATGGTTTGTGGCATAGTTTCCATTTCAAAATGTCTTAATACCTAACGGAACTAGGGTGGAAGCAATTAGTTATTTACTAATGAAATGAACTGGCAGCTATTAAAGAAACAAAACAAAAAAAATTGTATACATCAGGTTCAGACGTAAGTGTTGACATGATATTTTTTAAGGTCAGTTTTATTTTAGAGTAAATTTTGGATTGTTTAAAAAAAGAAGTCATCTTGGTTTGGCATAAATGAATTTGTGAAAAAAGAATTAAGAAAATGGTTACAGCCTTAAAAAAAATGAAGACAAAATTATATGGACAGTAGCTTTGACATTTTTTGACGCGTGGTGTGCACTTTGTTTCCCGTATTTTCGCGTATTTTTAAATCAGAATACTGTACATCAACATATCAGGAGCATTTCTTCTCAGTTCTGTTTCGGTCAGCCTCTACAACCGTCTGCCTCACAGCTCCCGAGAGCAATAACTATCATGGCTGCTGGATTCTGGGTAAAAGCTGTTCTTTCTATTGCATGTTTACCTTCTGCACAAAGTGCAGGTGTAAGTTTTAGTGTGTCTGTGTGTAGGAACGAAAACCTGATTCTTAGGTCATAGTGGGGCGTGTTTAGACAGGGCAGATAAAAGATGAGAGGGAATTAAGACGGCCGGAGGCACAGAAGGCTGGGCTTTGACATACAACTTGGGAGTGGAGGGTACTTTGTTACTCATTAATGTAATGGTTGTAGAAAGGTTAGATTATTTCCTGTTTTATTTATTTTTTATACCAACACATCCCACTGCAGCTGCTCCACTGAAAGCCTGATGGTGCTACTTTTCTGCCTGCTCCTGCACAATCCGAGCCCATCAGTCCCCAGCAAAGTTGTAGTCCCGACCACAGAGTAGCATGCACTGTGGTGTTGTGGCTGGATCCACTCCTGTAGCTCGTGATGTGTTACGCACAACTTTTAACTCTGGGGAGGGCAGCACCACGCTGGAAGGAATCTAAAATGATTCCAGCTGCACTTCCATCATCCATACAGTGTTGGAGCTTATTGATTTTGAACCAGTGAACAGCAGATGTGCCGTTTTCTTATGAAGAAAACATGCGCTTCAACTGAGCCCAGTGGGGAGATTGACATGGCTGGTTTACTTCACATTTATGACATCTTCTCTGAGATCAGTATGACTGGCCAATGCAGCCAGACATGGATGTTGGACATGTTTTAAAGTCTGTCTGCAAAAGTGTTTCTTTAACATTTATCAGCATTATGTAGCTTCAGTGGTCTTTCTCAGAGCATATTTTCTTCTTCTTCTTTTTTTTTTTTTACTAAGAAGGCATTATTCAAGGAGCAATAACGAGCTACAAGAGCAAAATTATGTCATTTACAAACTTGTCTATGAAGATCAACGTTTGAAAGGTGAAAAGGTTAATTGTGTTCCTGAAAAAGCACCAACTGAGCTGCTGCTGTGACGACCCCTCTGACGACATGACCGCTGAGGTACCATTGCATTGCGTAATAACACTTTATAAAAAGAAGAACCAGTTTACATGAGATCTTACGTAGGTATTCTGTTGTCCATTTTGCTGGTTCATTATTAAATGAGATTGCTCCATGTGCCTGCATCCAAACATCTGATTACCAAAGTGTCAAAGATGCGGGAGCGTGGACGATGAAACTTTGAGCTACAGACCTCTCCTTTATTTCCCCGATGCGAAGACGGACGTCTGAAAATGTTTGGAATACACACCGGGCAGCCTATAATCTCTTTCAGTTTGTCTTGAGAAGTTTTCTGTGACAAACCTTAACCTTTAAATTTGCTGTGTCATGTTTACATGTTTTTTTCTTTTCTGAGCGGATGGTGGCTCCGTTTGATCCGTCACTATTGATGGTCAAGTTTACCACACATGGTTTAGGAGGCACGATCTTTCACATACGTTGCGCACTGGAAGATGCAATTGATATAATCTAAATATACAAAAACTGGGATGGACTCTATAAGTAACATGCAGATGGTTTGAGGGGCCTCCAGACTGCATTTAAATGTGATATACTAGGGTTTTGCAGGATTTCAGGGTGACTTCTTTTTGTTTAGTCACTTCAGATATTTCATTATTAAATTGATGGATCAATAATAAAGAAGCCAAATCAACTAAAAACCATTTGAATTAAGGTTAAGTGTGGTATAAATAAAGCCACTTCTCAATTGGCGCCAGAATTGTAATTAGTCACGTTTTTCAGCTCCCGGATTGATCCTCACACTGATGCATATCCATGTCCTGTGGCATGTTACGCACTCTGCCTTTTTTTTCATTCTTGGATTGGACACTGCTGTTTTATTACTTTAAATATACAAGTATATATATATATATATATATATATTTATATAACTTAATATATAAATTAATGTGCCAAATCCACTTCATGTTTAGCCTGATCCATTCCGAAGCCGTTTGTACTGTAGGTCACCTTCTGTACAAGTCAGTATAAAATATTGTTTCTCTACAATAGTCCCTTGTAACTGGTGCCATTAAAGAAAACAATTCAAACTTGAAATAAAAATGCAACGTGGATTCATTGTCATCTTGTGGAAACCAGTTGAAGAAATAATCATGAAAATAATTTAAATCTGACTTTAATATAAAGAAAAGAATTGTGCGACAGTCAGTGAGGGAATGAACGTTAAATTTCACAATTTGTACAGATTGAATAGATCAGTGGAGATACAATGTGATGGCTGTACACAACTTGAACGCAGTTTTAGTAAAAAGTTCTGGTTTAGAGAGTGGATACAGGTTCATAAGTGCAGCAAAGCAGCAGCTTTCTGCCTGAAGAGTCCTTACGTCATGTGGGAAAAGGTGGGTTTTAAGAAGGGCCGCTTGTTGCTTTGAGGCATCGGAGCAGACAAGACTCCTGGACGTCTGCCTGCTGGAGCACCTCCCGCTGAACTCCTGGACCCTCGACCTGCGCTTTGTGAACCGCGACTGCACCCACAAAAAATGGAAAACGGACAATGTAAGTAATGAAGATATTCTACAACTACACACTGAGATGATGAGAACTGCACCGACCCTTTGGAACTGGAGCTTCCGTTGCCATATCCTTTTCTCTTCTTTGCATATTTGAAGAATGGAGCTTTCTTTCTCTTCTGTCCCTGAGCAGCCTGATTAGGGAAGTAGGTGGAGGACTCATCCTCATCTTCATATGTGTGGCCTCTTGTTGTGTCTATCCACCCGTCTCCAGCGCTCTCAGACTGCTCCTCTGCTAGAAGCAAAAAACACTTCAATACTACAGTCCCATTCAAAGACAGCTGGGACCTCAAAGCAAATGCAAATAAACACAAAATGCAAGAGTTTGCAAATAATCCCAATTTTTTTGTCACAATAAAACATTAACTGTAATCTGAAAAAAGTCATGCAATAGTATCATTTCTGCAGACAATTGAAAAGATTCAGGAAACATCAGACTAATGCTGCACTGCTCGTAAAGCAACTTGGAAGCTCATCACTGCATGGACTCAGGTACACTTCCAAAAATCAGCATGGCTTTTTCAAGGAAACTTTCAATGTTTTCTTTCGATGTAAATATCTCAGATATTTTACAGATTCTTGTAAAAGAAGAAGTGATGCTAAAGTAAACATGGAACATGGAACTGGGGATTTATAACGGGCAGCACCGAGAGACAAGAATAAAGAAGTAATGATGTGAGGTGGGTGGCTTACCGGGTAGCTGCCACTCAGAATATTTCTGTAGCACCTGAATGACTTCAGCTCCGTACTTCTCCAGTTTGTCCTCTGTCACACCATCAATTTGTAAAAGGACTTCGGGATCAGAGGAAAGTTTTTCTGTTGGTGCACAGACAGAAAAAATGAGATGCAAGCTAGGAAACGTGCAACACAACCTTTAGAATCTTTGCACAAATCACCAGCTATTTTCTTCAACGAGGTCGTGGAGAAAATGTTGTAATAGTGAATGCCAAACGCTTTGCCCAGCTGTTTACACAGATCTGCCAGCTCCTTCAGACACTTCTGAACCATCTCCTCTCTCTGGGAGACATTCTTAGATACCGCAGCTTTTTGTTTCCTGATGCTTGATGCGCTTTCTGTCTCATAAAACTCCACCTGGAAGCAACAGTTTTCAGATACAACTCTTTAAATCTTTTCTATTTTGTGTTTTTGGTGGAGCAATTTTAAGATCATTATCTCGACTTGTGTACCTGCATGTGCCCAGACAATACGTTCATGGCCTTTGGTCCAGCAGATGTGTAAGAAACAGTCTGGCCATTGTTGGTGAAGTAGAGGTCTTCCACCAAGATGGTTTCCAGGACCAGTTTCTTAAAGAGACGGTCAGCATTGTGCCGGGAGTAAGCTCCTCCCATCCCAAACATTCCCTTCTGTATCTTGGCAGATTTGGACCCTAACAGGAAAAATAAATACATTTTAAAAAGTCTCAGGACGCATTCAGATCACCCACTGTGTTTGGTGATATTCGCGTTTATGGCGTGAGCTTCAGTTTTGGAAGAAGTGAAAGTTCTCACGCACCTATGAAAATATCTACGAGCATGTGGAGCGTCAGCCTGATCTGCTGGCCCATCCTGCCGCAACGAGATCCAACGTTCTCACAGTTCTCCTGGACAAACCTGACAATCTTCTTCACATCCTCAGTCACGTCCCTAATCTTGTATTGCTGCATAAGAAGAACATTCAAACATTAGCGTTGGCCAGGTAAGTACAACACCCCCCCCCACACACACACGGATGGGGTACAGGGGATTCCTACGTTGGGCTTGTAGCAGTTGTCACAGCTGACGTCAGGATGCTCTTTACAGAAGCTTTTGTTAAAGGTCAGTTCCCCAAAGTACGCCAGCAGCTGAATTCGTCTGCACTCCAACAAATTCTCACAGAATTGCACCATGCTGTGTAGGTTGTTGAAATGAGTGGCCTTGGCGTGTCTGTCACCTTCTCTGTCCACTGCAAGAAAACCAGAGCCAAGAGAATTTATGAGTTAGACGAATAAAAAAAGAATCAATGATGTGGAAAAAGAAGGCATGCAGAGCTCTTTAGATGAAGGACTGATTAGTAAAAATAAGCTCAGTTAACCGTTATCATACAGCATGCTAATCAGAGGGTCAATAAGTTAGGGCACATACTACTGATGATCCTCTTGATGCGGTGGACGTCAGTGTATGAGTAGAAGAGAATGCAGTGGGAGATCTCTCCATCCCTGCCAGCTCTCCCCGACTCCTGATAGTATCCCTCCACTGATTTGGGTAAACTAGCGTGGATCACGTAGCGCACGTCCGGCTTGTCAATACCCATGCCAAAGGCTATGGTGGCACAGATGACCTGGTCAAGGAAAACGAAACAAGAACAATGAGCAGTATATCTCACTTTATTTTAAATCCTTCCAACAGAAGCTGGATGGAAACACGCCGTCGTATCGAGCGTCTGATGAGTCTTGAATAGTGGCGACCTGACCTGGCAGCCATCCTGATTGATCCATTTGGTCTGGACGTATTCCCTGTCGCCATCGCTCAGTCCAGCGTGGTAGGAAAGAGCCAATATGCCCGCTCTCTGCAGACTCTCTGCCATGGTGTCACAGTCGTTACGAGACAGGCAGTACACAATGCCAGAGTCACCTGTAACACACACAAAGAGTGTAAAGACAGAGACAAGAAATGACTATGTGGAATACTTCCCCCTTCAGTAATTCCTTCGTCACAGGACATGTTTAAAACTGAAATAACTGCATATAATTTATTGGACCCATCAGCAGACTCATTTCAACTATATGCAGACAGACAGGTCAAGCATACATCTGAATTTTTTACACTGCAGTAACATCAGTGTTCTGGAAATAGCACGTATTAAGATAAGAAAATGTACTGAATCATTTACGTGGGTAGTGCTTCTTGATCCAGCTGATGCAGTCCTCGTCAACCTTTTTGGGTTTTTTGGGCAGCACATAGTACTTGAGGTTGACTCTGTTGAAGCTCATGGTGAATCTGAAAGAACATCATATTTAAAATAACGTGCAGGATGGCCTGGCTATCTGAGATCAGTGTCAAGAAACGCAAGTTATAAATAAATCACAGCCCAAAAATGAACACGTACACTTGTGGCCGCGTCATGTTCAGCTGGTTGAGGATGTCTTTCTGCACACGGGGGGTTGCGGTGGCTGTCAGGGCCATCATTGGCACGTTAGGAAACTTATGACGCAATTCGTGCAACCTCTTGTAGTCTGGACGAAAATCGTGGCCCCACTAAGAGGATTGAGGACGTGATGGATTACAATAACAAGAAAATACCTCAAAGCATACAGCAGAGTGTGTGATGACCAAAGAGAAAGAACGCACCTGACTGACACAATGTGCCTCGTCTATCACAAAGCGGGCCAGAAGGCGTCGCTCATACAGGTTCTGCAGGGCTGAAATTAACCTGTTACTTGCACTCACCTTGAAGGAAAAAGAGATAAATCAGTCTAGGTTTGCCCAAAAATGATAGACAAGTTTGAGATTGCAAATTAGTAAGGAAGTCTTTGGTTTTCAAATACATGAGAAAAAAATCACCCAAACTCACCTTCTCTGGTGTGACATACAGCAGTTTAATGATGGGGTCTTTCCTGGAAAGCTGCATATATATCCTCGCAGCTTCACTGTCACTTTTATCACCCGACAGACTTGTTGCTGGAATCTAAAATGAGGGAAATTATGATTTATATTAGAATTATTTAGCTTACAAAAAAATAAAGTTCATAAAAATATCTACTATTTAAGGAAAGAAGTCATTTAAAGCATTTTTCCCCCAACAGTTTAAAATAAACATTTAATAATATGATCTAACAATCCAATTAACAAAAAGGGATGAAGCTAGTTAACGAGCATTACCTTTTGTTTTAGTAACAGTCACAATTTTCCTCTTATTTACCAGCATTGCAAACTTCCACTAGTAATTCATACTTCTCACTAATCTAGACAAAACAAACCTACTTACATCTAGTGTGGTGAGTTTCTGGATCTGGTCTACAATAAGTGATTTAAGAGGGGAAATTACAACAGTTACTCCTGGTGAGATGCAGGCAGGCAGCTGATAGCACAAACTTTTGCCGCCCCCTGAAAAATATAATAGACAAGTATAAGGGATCTTTTTAGATCTGGATAAAAACTTGACGGATCAAACTTTAACACTATTTATGAGGAAGTGGCACTATGCACTTTTACCTACCTGTGGGCATCAAAACAAACGTGTCCTCTCCTAGGATTGTAGCATTTATTGCTTCCAGTTGATTAAACCTGAACTGATGAAGACCAAATCGCTTATGAAAGATCTTCATCATCTCTTGTGAGTGGGGGAAGTTAAACCCTCTGAAGCGATCATGGACTGGGTTTTTGAAAGTGGGCTCTGCAAAATAAGATGTTTCCTAAAATTAATAAGGTCTTTTTCTTTAGCTAAATATAATGCCATCTAGTGGGCAAATCCAAAGGATGCACTCTTCAGTACATTTGAGCAGTTTTTGGTCATGCTGACTTACCTAGGGAACACATCTTTGGAGTTTTCGGTGTAGAAACAGGTGTCACTGATTTCTTCTCCCATGACGATCCCCCTTCTTTCACTGTTGTAGTCACAGTGCTGAACTTTTGACTCGACACTGATGAAGTTGGTGGCTCGTCAAAGTAGCCAGGGATGTCCGAGTCATTGAAGTCATCTATGTCAAAGTCATCAACATAAAAGTCGTCTGCCTCTGCTTCTCGTGGGGCAGTATAAGTTGGGGTTTCGGATTTATTTTGCACAACTGCCCCTGGTTTCTTGGCAGAGAAGAAGAGATCAGAATCATCGAGGTCAGTGCCTGATTTATCAGGGACGGTAAAAGGTGGCTGTTTGGAGCTGTGGGCTGATGGAGAGTCAAAAAAACTCTCATTCTCTACACATATTGTCCTGGTTTCCTTCCTGGCAAAACGGTTTAAACTGCTAACAACAGAGTGATCAGAGTCATAGTCCAAAGGAACAACAGAGGGTCTCTTGGGCTGCGGATGTCTTTTTGACTCCACAGGCAAAGAGCTGTTTGTAGGTGTACCGGAGCTTGAATAAGAAGCTTCTTTAAAGCTAGACTCAGAAATGACTGTGCTGTCTGGCTGCTGCATCCTGAAAGAAGAGTCTCCACCAGTAGCAAGAATCCTCTTCCTGCAGGAGAGAGAAAATGCCCGCAGTCATTCAGAGATGAGATCAAACACAATAAACATTAGCAAATGCATCAGCAACTCACCTCTGAGCCCGCTTCAGTAAAAGCTCGTCCCCACAGGATAAAGCAATTAGTTCATGTTCAGGGACGGAATCAACCAGAGCACAAATAGACTCCATGATACTGAAGAGCTGCTCATCTGGAAAAAGTTTGGAGTACAACACAATTAATGAATTCCTTCTGAATATACAGAGATGCACAGCTGGAAAGCAGGTAAAAACAAAACTCACTCATTTTGTCTTTTGAGTGGACATCAGAAGGCTCATGCACAGATTTAGTAGAACCCTTTAACTGAACAGGATTCGTTCTACTTTGAGCAGCAGTTGTGCTGTTTCTGTAAAAAAAAAATGTACATGCCAATATTCAGGAATCAAAATACAGATTATACTGACATGATCAGGATGTCACTATAGCTCATAAGTTACAAAGCTAACCCTGAACACTTGTGATTCCTTAGTAGCTATGGGACTACTGTGTGTATATCTTTTTAGTGGTGCCATCTAATATAAAGCACATGCATGACAACATTTAACTTTTATTCAAGTCCACTCTTAGCAGTGAAATCTAGGACATGCAAAGAGTTACTGAGTGTGGGAAACAGGTGTTTATCTATTGCTCTGTTGGGCATAGTGGGAATCTTACGGGCTAACAAAGTTGCTTCTCTTCACCGTTGCTCTTTGTACAGTCATCGCACAATGCATTAAAAACAGATAACACCAACCTTATCTCCACTGCAGACCTTGTGTAAGATACTTCATCAGGCACAGGTGAGGGGGGAACAAAATCTAGGTCATCTTCAGGGTCCGAGTTGTCAATAAGTTCTATCACGTTTGGATCAATCCATTTTTTGTTCATGTCTGAAAGGCAAAGAAATATTCCATCATAGCTCAAGTGCGTTTACATATTTTTCAGACCTTTAACAACTTTTAAACATGAATCTAATATGTGAACAGTCAGTTACCTTTTCCATCTCCGAAACAGTCTGACGTGTCCTCTTCGCCATCACTTGATACAGGCCTTACAACATTTCTGCGTCTCATTTTAACTGGCGAATCGGCCACTTCATACTCTGATGGTTCCCGAGTCAAACTAGGTACTGGAGAAACTGTGGCTTTGTTGACACTATGCTCCAGCTCACCAGTCTGGTCGCATTTCTTGTTGCTCATCTCTGGTTTTGCATCATAAGCGTTGCTGCTACATGTGAATTCTGGGAACTCTTCATTAGGACTTGACAATGGCTTGGTGGTCTTTCCTGAAACGTCTGAGCAGAGCGAGTCATTTTTTGTTCTGGTTGGTGTTTCAAAGTCATCTAAATCATCCCAATCATCCATAGGAAATCCAGACAGATTCAAACTTGCGGCATTGACTCCACTGCCACGGCATAACTCAGTGTCAGCTTTGGTTGAGGGCACAGTCACTTTATTACCAGACTCTGCTGGGGGGGTCGGACATGCTGGAGAGTCGGACGGGCATTTTGAACTTACAGGAAAGAAGCTGTTGATTTTGGATTTTTGTGGTCTTTCAAGCTTGTTTGAAAATGTCAAAGAAGATTCAGTCACCCAAGTGTTTTTAGGGACATTGACATTCCTGTTGGCTAAAACATTTGATCCAATTACCTTGGTAGGAAATTCCACTTTAGTTGTACCTGTTGAGGACTTCTTCTTGAACGAGAAGGCCCTGGAAAAGAAAATCAATTTGTGAAAATCTTACAAGTTAGCACACGGACAGCTAAAAATAAATCAATCAATCAGCATACAATGCAAAACATCCAAACACAGCATGTTTACCAGTTTCCGGAGCTCAGCTGTGTATTTTGACTAAGATATCTGTGACAGTGCAGCCTTAACGAGAGCTGTAGGATCTCAGGTAAGATGTTTTAATATCTTAGATGAAAACATATTCATAAAAGTTAAACACGAACCGATGTATTGAACTTATGTTGCTGTGATGTCTGCAGGAGCACTGACAGTAGATGCACTCCAGGTACTAGCTGCCTAACTTAGCCTTAAAGTTCTTCAGTAGGACTCCAAAAGGTTCAGTCCAAGTTGTGAAACAAACTCTATATGAATGGTACCGTTTACTGGTAGAACATTTACCATTGAAAAAAACTCCCTGTTATGAAAGTAATGTTCGTGATGCTCTCGTGCAGATAGAGCAGAGCTACCAGCTAGCTGATGGGTCCTTCCTCCCTGGTAACGTTCATGACTTACCCCGCTTTGGGCTTCGCCAGTGACAGCTTGCTTTGGGCAGCATTACTGTGCCTGGCCAGCTGTTCGCTCAAGTTATTTTGTGGAAGACCAGACATTGTTGGGAAGCAGCTGAGTTAGCAACTGATAGCTGGCTAACAGCACGAGCTCTCTTCATAAGGTGGTAGACCGTTTCCTAACATTGCTCGCGACTTCAGGTGCAGGCTGGCGCTGTTTATCCCACCGCTTAGTTGTAACTCGGTTTAGTTGGTTAAACTTCACATTTGTTTAAACTGGTAACACCACAGACAACTCTCCATTTAGACCCAGACACAAACACTGAAATTGCGCCCATTCAACCACTACACTGTTTATTGGCCAACAGCGAGCGGGAATGAGGATTCTGGGAGCTGTAGTTTTACAGCACAAACACAATACACATGGCGCTTGGATTACTCCTTTAAAAAGCTTAAATCAACCTTTTAGGTTAATATAATGTAAAACAAATATTTATGAAAAGATTTCTAAATGACCAATTTAAAAATAAAAAAAAAGTTAAGTAGTCTATCATTTAAAAATACTTAAATAAATAATAACTTAAATAGGAAACATATGTCTCCATTTAACAATTTTGCTGAAGTTTCGCACTGAATATATTTTAAGTCTTTGTTTGATCCAGCGGAAGGCCGTTTTGTGCTACTAAAGGAATGAGCTGAGCTAAGCTGTGTAGCACAGAAGATTAAAAATGCCAAAAAATGTTTGCCAGTTTTGTTTGCCTTGAGGTTTTACTTTAAAACATTTTTGTACTTGATGGAAAGCCTTTTAAATTCTAAAAGACAATAGCTATTGAAATTATTTAAAGAATGTGTTTGGATTCTAACAGCAAAATTTTGTGACAAAAGACTTAAGCGACAATAAAAATTTACTAGTGAATTTATTCACAAGAATTTGGCACTTAGGTCATCATCTTGATTATTACAAACACACGCTATGGGTATGAAACAATCTCTCAATAATTGTCTAATTCTGGGATGAATAAAGCACATCTTATCTTATATCAGAATATGTGAGTTGAGATTAAAATTAATTATGAAAGTTCACAAAAGAATGATCTTTGATGTAAAGTACTTTGAATTGTCATGTACATGAATATTGCTATACAAATACATTTGCCTTGCCATGCCTAAAAAAACAACAAAATGCTGTAGCATTTAAAAAACAAGGAGTGCAATTCCCTTTACCCTTTTCTGAGATATCATGTTAAAACAAAATTAAACCACTGGGAAGGATGAGCAGGCAGCAAGTCCGCACATGTTCTTTCCACGTTCAATGAGGAAATATCTGTGGGAAAAAAGCATTGTTACAAGCATGAATTATTTTGTATGCAGTTGTAGATGTTTTTTGTTTTTTTTGTTTTTTTTCCAACTTTATTTTTGAACATTTTTTTAACCCAATAGCATACAGAGTACACGCAGTTGTAGATGTTTAACGTCACATAACTGAAAACAAATTACCCATCAATCCCCCAGCTGGATCCCCACGAGTTCTTTACTGTCCAGTACAGTGTACCATTCTCCTGCCCATAGCCAACAGCTAGCACAGCGTGGTTCACCTTGTCTGTGGTGTTGTGGCATTCGGTGCTGGAACAAAGAAGAAAGACGAGTTATATGGGTACCCAAAAGCACATGAGTTTTGAAAAGCAATGAGGAACTAACCCTCTTTAAAAAATAGGAACAGCTTCACTTGCAGAAAAGTACAGACAATAGTATGATTTAGCAATATCTGTTTAAGACTCTTTAAATTTGGGTAAAATTCTGCATGATTCTATCCATTATATTTCAGCACAGTAAAGAAATTACTCACCAAGCCTGGAAACGCAAATGTTTAAATGTATTAGAAATATCAAGTGTATTGAAGACATAACAGAACTTTTGTGTTCCTAGACTATGTCAAACAGTGAAAAAGAGAAAAATAACCTGCTTTTGAGACTCTCTCACCTGGTGTAAACACCCTGGTGGTAGTGCATGAAGTCCGCGGTCACCTCAAAGGCTAAGCTGACAGGATTGTGTGTGGCGACAGCATCAACCATGCCCATCTCATCGTACTGGTAGGTGATAGAAAACGTTTTTAATCTCAATTTCTTCTTATAAAATAAAAAAAAGACTGCTCTTCAATGGAGACGTTGATAATTGCTCACCACTGTCACATTCATCACATCCTTCACAAAAGCAGCAGCCAGCAATGGTTTATACACACAGATTCCTTCCTAATGCAACAGAAAAAATGCACGTTAAGAGATACTCAATATGCAAGTTAATAACAACCTTTGCATGGGTTTCTGCCTCAGTAAGGCCCAGCAGTTACCACAGCTGTATATGGGTAGTCCCGCTCTGTCATCAGTCCTTTGCTGTACTTGATGTACTCAAATGCTTGACTTGGAAGACCTCTGGAAGAGAAATGAAATCTTGTTAAAAAAAAAAGGATTTCCCTGATGCATATGGCAGTGGTTGCAGAAAAAAAACTACATCTGGGTACATGTTGGGCTCTCACCCGTAACAGCCATGGTTGTTGAAGTCCTGGGCACAGTCTACCAGCTGCTGTTCTGACTGGGTAAAAGCAGAAGCAGTTCAAAATGACAGGAAATATATTTTCTTCTGAATGGCAAGTTTATTTAACCAGCGCAGCTGTTTTGAGAACGAAGCGGATGACAGTCACCAGTGGAACAAGCTTCCCAGTGGCGATAGCGGTGACAGACTCCAAACAGCCCGTTGTGGAGAAAGTCCAGCAACTACCGCAGCTTTGCTGTAGAAGTAAGAAAAACTGTACATCAGATGAACTGCTCATGAAAGTCAGGACAAAATGCTCCTCTGATTCATTCATTTGGGCGCTAAAAACATTTTGGTGACTCTTTTTGTGATAAACAACAGGCCTTGACCTTGTCACTGTCGACATGTTATATATGGACAAACACATGCATAGCTACAACTGAAACCATGAGACCAGTGAAGCACCTACTGTGTTATTGGGGCATGAACCTATCTAATTACACCTGCCTTGATCCATAAGTGTCTATGTTCTTTACATTAAACAGCATGATGTTGTAGTAGATAAAATGAGAAAACACTACAGCTTTCATTATAGTATACAGTATAGTATATATGTTTATTGATGAATAAATAAGCCGAGTCTAAAATGTGTTTCAAGGCACATTTATCATGTGCTGCATCTGCAAAAACAACTCATGAACTCCGTTCACATAAGAAAAGGTCTGTGTTTTTTCCCCAGACTATATTTGCATTAAACTTCACCTGATTCTTCACTGGAGTCACATAATTTCCTTTCTTTCTCCAGTCAACGGAGTCTGGATGTGGTCCATTGCTGCTGAGGTAATTTCCCTTGGTGGCGGAACAGTTCTGCAAATAGCAAAGTGTACATCTTTCTTTATTAAGAGAAAAAAAAGTTCATATGCAAATCCTCCAAGTAATTTACCTGTGCCTCAGACCAGAGGTAAGCTTTTCGAAACTCGTCAAATGTCATGTCTGAAAACTGGTTCAAAGCCACTGGAGGGAGAAACCAAACATATCCAAATGTGTCAGGGGTAATAAACAAAAACTAAAAAAAAGAAGGAAATTAAAGAAAATTGTAAACACAAAAAGGTCCTACTTGTAAAAGAATGATTTCCTGCATTGTGTTTGTCAATCCTTCTCTTGTTCTCCGTGAATATCTGGAGTCTCTGGTAATACTCCTCCGTGTTGTAGTCTTTGTTGTGCTGCACATGCAGAGGCCTCAGTTAACTTTAGTCCAAAGCTTATTTGTAATAAAAGGCTTACAGTGCTGCAATTATGCAGCTCAAAAGGAAGTGAAGTCACATCATCTGGTCTTGATTTTCCCCACTCACTTTGAAAACACGCAACACATCATTTCTTGTTTCAATTTAGAAGAGACGCACAAACCACAATGACTCACCTGTGCCGCCCAGGACCTGAAGAGGAGCTCATCTGGAAACAGTTCAAAGCGTTAAGACGCAGATTAGGGCCACAAAACAAAGATAACTACTAAATCGTTACAGAGGGATATGAAAGTGAAACAGTCGTTAAACCTGTGCTGTAAATAATAATGTCTAAATCCTCATAACTTACCTCGTTTGGACAAGTAAAACGCTGAAATGACCGGCACCAAAGCGAACACAAGCCAGGCACTCCTCATGCTGACTTTCGAAAGTTGTGGCCGGTGTTTGACGGTAGCGACGCTGAAGGTGAAGTGAAAACTTATGTATATACAGAGAGAGACGGTCACGAGGTGCACTGCTCCCTTCTCAGAGCACCGCCTCACATGTAACGCGATATTTTCAGAGCGCACAGTTGCGTAAGCGGCTCCAGGTGCCACACAGGAAGCACGCTGGTTCAGGGTCAAAGGGAAAAAAGGGCTCACTATAACCTTAAATGAAGAGTAAGTTGCCATGGTGTACGTTTTGACTCCAATACACATCAATTTGAAAAAATACCTCAAATTATGTCTGGTGCAAAAATGATTGGAAAAGAAATTATCTGTTGGACTCACACCCAGCGCATTGTTGAAGATGGCCTGCAGCTTTTCCTAATTGCTTAACTTTGTGTTAACCTAAATCTAAGCTCTGGAGTTCATAAATAAACGTTGCTACAAATCTTTATATGATTTATTGGTTTACTTTTGAGGTGCAGGCTGGAAAAGGCTCCTGTGCCCATGTGACCATGAGTTGGTTCATGTCCGTATGAAAAAGGGATAAATAGATGGATGGATGGAGATGTTACAAAATGGCTCAAACTCGGTTTGTTGGGACATAACGTATTTTATCAAAGGAAAAAAGTAAATGCCAAGTACTTTTGTGAAATCTTAAAACTTTTACATGTATTTTACACAGTTAGCAACTATGTGGTGCTGGGACAGAGCATTGAATGTGATACTGTATACTTTCAGGCTATAGTCTATTCATTCACTTTAAATGAGTACAACAGATCTACAAAAACACTTGAGACAAAAGTGCCCCTGAGATAAAATGGATTTATTAGCAAGAGGTAATTGGGAAATATATTTTTGCTTACTTGTTGTTATTTTCATCTTCATGTGTTTTCTCTTTTTCATTTTTTTTCTTACAAAACTGGGAATATTTCTTAAGCTGTGGAAACATGGGGGTTGAAAGATAATTTTCATACCACTGGGTATTGCTAACAGCAAGATGTTTATTTGTTTAAATACCTTATAAGAGTATGTGCATGTATAAGTGTATACAGTATAAGTATATAGTATTATTCTGTCTGTGAAGGTGTTGCATGCCTACCACATGAGCTTTAAAAGTGTACTGTACAAACATAGTAAAAATACATACAAATATTCACAGAATAAGCACTACGTTACTATATTCCTGTTTACAGAAATGGTTATAGACAGGATTACAGTATGCAAAACACTTTGAAGTTGTGTTCTACCTCTAAGTCATGGTTTCAAGACCACAATGTTGTAGCATTTTGTGTTAAGCTTGAAATACAACTTGTTTTTGAAAGGGTTACACTGTTCCACATTGAGAAATATGCCAGGTTGCATGTACAAAATGTACAGCACATTTCAGTGAAGTGAATTAACAACAAAGTATAAAATACTTTCCCATTTTCATATAAAGAGCAAGTCACTCTCCTTTGTACTACTACAAAAATAGTGTTTGAATGCTGCAGGCAAAGATCATTCACATACATTTTATCATAGATTTTAACAGCAATGCATATAACGGAATGATATACGGTCACGTTCCACAATCACTGGAACAGCAAAAAGGACAGATTGTCTTTAAATTACAGAAGAGCAACAACCTTTTTCTCTAAATAAGTAGAACTCAAACCTGAAATTACGACACTTACAGCATGTGATTTCTTTTTCACGGGTTAAAAAACAAACAACAAAAACAAGAGATTCAAGCAAATGGGAAACTCGCTATACTGTAAATGTGTGCTTTAAGTGCAACAGGAAAATTCAGATGACTAATTTGTCACCTTAAATCACACACATAATCTTAATCACTTTAAGTAGTAACTCATAGCTGGTCCCTTTACTTGAACTGAATTGCCTTGGGTGAGTTTAGGCACCTCGTGTCAACAGGCAACAAAGAGAATGAATTGCTGTCCAATACAGAAAAAAAACACTTGGATCTTCGTCAATTTTAGTTTAATGTAAACAATGATTTTAGAGCAGAGTCCTGGTTGAGTACAGCGACCAGGCCCTTCAGCATTTACTGGACTATAACATTTTATCTGCAGCTAGGTTTATGCTGCTTTTCCATAATCCCAAGTCCCATTTGGGACTAAACCTGCTAGCATGATTGGATGGGTAAAAAACAGGGTTTATATTAATTTTGAGTGGACGTCAATGGTCTTTCACTGTTGTGCTAGATGGATGATCTATGTCTCAGTACAAAAAAATTACAAATAAACTCGAAGAATCTGCCAATGGTTTTAGAAGGGAGGAGGGTAAAGATAAACACCATTGTTTACACCAGTAAAGCTGAAGTGAAGCAGGTGAACAGCATTGAATAACAACATGACACAGCTCTTGGCTCTCCATCGAGTTTCGTGCCTGACTGGTACCATTAGGCTGAAACAGTTGCAGTGGTTGAGACCCACTGCCTCTAGAGAGCAGAAATATAGAAACAAATCACTCTTGTTTTGGTTTAGGAAGCCCAGAGACACTCATGCTTTGGATACCTTCCTGTTACTTCTATTAATCAGTGTTCCCTCTTGTAAAATACAGTTAGACTTTTTATTCTCTGTGCTCTTTACCTGATTCGATACAGTTCATTTATACATTGCTACATTGGTCGCAAAAAACTTCAGTGATCAATAAAACTCAAGCCAAGAGAACAACGGCCAGCAGCACAAGTGCTTAGAAAGTGCAAATTTGACATAGTATTACGCAATGCAAAATAATGTCATTGGTCACCGAGAAAACACAGTTGCATGCAACTAAAGTGACCTCTATTATTATTCTTAAATTATGCCAAAGAAATCAAAAGAAAATCTTTTAAACAGGTGTCATCATGGCCACAAACAGAAAACTATACACTAAATGTTTTGTGTCTTCAAACAACCTTAAACATCTACTATACAGAAGAGCAAATATCTTAAAAATGTACAGCTATACAAATGTTAGCATCACTGTGAACTGATGAGTACTATTGAGCACCACCCTCCTTATCAGTTGGGCACTTTAGGCTCAATTCTGAGTGAGGCCTCATACATGCTTTCTTCATCCAGAACAGAGCTATTGTCCAGTAGATACTGGGCTACCTGAAATGTGTAAAAAGAAAGGTTAAATCATTTTATAGACTTGTTATTGTCTGCAGTCAGTCACCCATGAAAAAAATAGTATGGTTCTATACGCACCAAATGTACATCTGAACTATTAGAGGCTCTAACATTTCCCTGGCTTTAAAAATGTAAGTTAAGACAGGAATAGTATGCTTTCACTAGTTTTTAATCATGGGATTTACCTTTGGTTGCAGATCAATCTTGTATGCTGTTTGTTGAAACTGCCGGATTTCTCTGATGATGTGTGAAATCTAAAAGAGAAAAAAAAAAAAAAAAGTTAACCAGATGCTACATGTTCTGAATTTGAAACACAAACTCTCACATGTTTTTCCTGTTACAGATCCCTGAACATCCTACCATCCTCATCTTTGAAAAATTGACCAAGTTGTCTTCTGTGTAGTTTGGCGTTCCCTCCTCAATGAAAGCCAGGTCAGTGAGGTACATCCCCAGGTACGGCACACAGGGAGGATCGCAGCTGGTGGGAGGAAAAAGAGAAACACTCTTGTTATCCACTTGTACGGCATGCTTCTTCTGTTGTTCCAGTTTAAAGGTGTGTCCTTGAACTCGACTCACTTTTTCAAAGCCTCTCTCAGGTTTTTGAACCTCCCCTCTGAAGAAACCAGCTTTTGCAGCTTGTCAATCAATGCTTTTGTCTAGAAGAAATATATAATTTTGGGAACCGTATTAATTGTTATACATTGCACTTCTGGCAGAATTAGCGTATGATTTATCTTCATATTTACGCACCTGCTTGGAAACTTTCAGCCATGTTTTCTTGAGACGGAAAACAGAGCTGCGGTTGAGGGAAGATGTGATCTCCAGCACAGCGTTGTAGTTATGCAAACAGCGGCATATGTCAGCCACGGCCACCCATTTCTCAATCACAGCTACTCGAGAGGACAAATCATCACACCGAAGGATTTCCGTGGCAATCAGGTTACTTATCTGGTGGAGTAAAGAAAAAAGTAGTTTAGACTCACAGTATAGTAAGAAATCAGGAAAAACAATAAAGTTGGCACATTTTCTCTGTAACATACATCATTGAAGTGCTTTGTGTTCCTCATGATGTACGGCGTCTTTTCATTTTTGTCGTTCTTCATCCAGCCTTGGCCAAAGAATTCTCTGCAAAATGAAAAAATAAAGATACAGAGGGGTCAAATAATGAACTCCACAGAGGGACAGAGTAAAGTTGTGATGGCACTTACTCATAGGGGATGTCTTTGAAGACTAGGTGGTCAAGCAGAGTGAGCTGCTCTGCAATTTCCAACGCAGAGTGGCTCTCAAAAGGCTCGCCCCTCCCCCCTCCAACCTGGCATGAAAAATGGCAAAAAACATAATGACTGGCAGTTACAAAAGAAAGGATAAATACTTAAAATAAGTTAATTTGACATATGTTAATTAATCGAAAATTAATGAATGAAGACACAAGGACTAGATCACATAAAATGTCCTCCTCATCTAATATATTTTTTATTTTTCTAACTTGGAGAGAGGAGTTCCAGAGATTCAGAATCTTGGTTAGTCATGAATAATCAGTCTTTGAAATCATTGCAGCATTTCTCACCAAAAAACATTTTCTTTATGAACAAGAGCATGATTTGTCTCTTTCTTTTGTAATGCTTAAAGTGACGTTGTTGCCTTTGTTTTCGTGTCTTGGCTTTAGGGCAAGCCACATTTTTTCCCTTGCTCCAACCATGTAAATGTAAAGTCTTATATTGCCAGGTAGTTTTGAAAATTAGAGATATTTTGTGTTTATGTTAAAATTCAAATATGAACATATGATATATGAGAGGCCTAATTACTACCTGCTGTCCAGTACAGAGGGGCAACAACACAAACAACACCTACTGACTCACCAGTTGTGTCACATCTTCTAAGTTGATCTGACTGTCACCATGATCCTCTTGAGTTAAAGTCCTGAAAGACAAACAAACATAAAATTAACAACATATATAGTGATGTATGATTTTATCAATTTGTTTTTGTCAAAGTCTCATCAAAAAGCTAAACAGTAGTTCTGTAAACTGCAGTGTCTTACTGTCCAATTTCAGGATCATATACATATACTTCTCTTTTCTCTCTATAATGTTTGGTCTAAAGATAAGTTCACTTTACATAATTTTCCACAAAAACGCTTTTGCAGGAATTCCCTAAATAATAGAAACAAAAGGAAGTACCTGATAATGTTGGCTGCAGCTTTTCTCTCTTGGGTTAAGAGCTCAGGGTCATGCATCACTTCCTCAAGGAAGGCAATGACTTTTGTCTTCAGCTCATTGTTACTCTCAAAGTCCTGAAGTGTCACAAAATGCACACATGCAAGAGTATAATACAGTCAGAACATCTCTTCACAACTCGTCCATAATATCAGTGTAATGTATGAGTGTATAATTTAAATATCAAAAACTAAACAAAGCCAGTGCATCTCAACTGCTGTTGTAAACCATCAGAATGTGTCCTGAGACATTTACTTACCGGAGAGTGTTTTGACACCCAGTGCCTCAACACATTCAGGACTCTGTTGGTCGCAGCTCTTCTAATCACAAACTCTTTATCTCCATTTCTCTGATCAGTTGGAAAACCTTAAAAAAATTGTTTAAGTTTGAGAATTCGAAAATCAGGATTCTGTTGCAGTCTTAGCATTTCCTAGCAGCCAGATTATGACAAGGCACAAGTGAAGATAAAATGTAGTTTTAGTGGACTATTTGACAATAGTGTGTACCTGTGCTTGCAAGGGACATCCGTCGATACTTCTCCTTGGTAGGGGTGCCCTCGTTGGCTCCTGCTGTGGCGATTGCAAAGGCAGAGGCAGCCGACAGAGCACTGCGGTTGCTGTCGAGCTCTCGACAAGAGGACATTACCATGCCATTGTTGTACGAAAACAGAGAGAACTCTAAAGAGAAGCACAAAAAATTACAAGAAAATGATTCCATTGATGCTGACAAGTAAAACATTCCCATCTTAAACATCTCTCTAAAATAAAACAATACAATTACGGCATATTACAGAGAAAACACTTCCTTTAACAAGCCTCCACTAGGGTGCACTACAGGCCAGCACAATAATATCCTCCAGACTTTCCTCTCCAAGAGGCTTTGATATTCAAGATGGTTGTGGCTAAATATAGCTGCCAAATATCAGCATAACAGAGGAATCAACAGATTCTCCGCACTCTGCTGTGTTCGAATCCTTGGAACACAGATAGAGCATAAGCCGATAGGAATCTGTCACACTGCATAACAATTTTAGTTAATTCACACATTCCTGAGCAGACTTTGCCTTTTAAATCCTTTGTGCTGTTTTGTCCAAAGATTAGGAAGGCAAATATAATCTTGGCACAGTGAGACAGCCTCATTACTGGGGGCGGCAGGGAAAGCACGCTTTTGATGTAGTTGCTATGGCACAAGTTTCCCTAACACCTACTGAGGCCAAGCTTTAGCTTTCCCCACATGTTCGTCGCCATCAACCATCAGATGATTTATGTTATCTATATTTCACAGTGATTTTTTTTCTTTGTGTGGTGATTGAATAATACACTGGTCATTACGAGACACATAAAAAGCTAGTTAGTTGCCAGTAAAACCTTAAAGAATTCAAATACATATCCTGTTTGAGAGGAGAGCGTGGATCTAGTAGATTTGGACGGCATGTACCTGAAGAGTTTTTGCATTTGACGTTTTTTGGTGTGGTTGGAGACTTTGTGGGAGATGCTTCTGCTTCACCGTCATCACTCTGGTTTTGATCATTATCACTTTCTTCCCGTACAGAAAGATCTGTGTAGTTGCAAACATAAAGTCGTAAATAGTCAAGTCTTCACAGAGATTATTACAGCAAAGTAATCTTGAATCTATTTGCTCGGAGCGACGTTTGTGGACTTACCTTGCTTGCACACAGAGGTATCCTCAGCTTTATCCTTCTTATCCTCTCCTTCATCTGAGATTTTGCTTGCGATAGGGCTGGACACATAGAGTTTGTTGATGTCCAAGGTGGTCTTGCTGAATGGGGACATGGAGGAATACATGCTTGCATAGCCATTTGAGGAGCAGCTGAGGGCAGCCAGGTCAAGAGCTTTGCCCCCAGTGATGATGGGGATGTTGAGAGAGAGTTTTCGGCGACGATTGGGGGATGAGTTCTTGGCAATGGCAAGGGGAGGTGGGGAGGAGAACTTTCTGCTAGCCCTGGGAGAGCTGGGAGGCTCCCCATACAGGAGTTTATTGTTCTGACTGCTCGCAAAGAATAACTCCAGAGACCTGCATCAGGAGTGTATAAGTTTACATTTGACGTTAGGATATAGGAATGCGTTTCATTGGTATTTCAAAAGCATGCTTTATGTTTTAAAGAAGAGCTGGAGTGATCATAAAACATTTCCTTAATAATTCATGCAACAACAAAAAAAAATCAACCCAGCCATCAGAAGTCTTTTTGCAACCATGTCTCAACATTTTAGAGCAGGATACAGACTGCAGCATTTCAGTAAACCTCTCCCACTCTCTGCCACCCTCCTGCCGACCTCACGGGTTCCCATAAATAGCACAACAAATGATAGTGCGCATGGCCACTGCTGACACAAGCAGCCAAGTGTAGGTGTCTCGCAGTGACATGACAAGTGCCACAGGAGGGATACTGCAGGGCGTAGACGTGGCGAGCTCTCCCTGATCTGAACCCCTCAGTGGGGTCCTCACTCCAGACATGCAGCACAGAAAGTTAGTCCCTAACGCAACGCTGTCAGTGTTTCAAACTATGGATCTTTAGCAGACAAGGAAAGGGAAAAAGCAGGGGAGGGTGGGGTCCTGCAGCACAGAGAACGGTTGCCATAGAGCAACAGATCACAGTCAAGACACTCCCAGCCAAACGCACGGCTCTGGACCCAGACACAAAGAAAACACATGTTGTGCACGTCCATGTAGTCCTCGTGATCTGAAGCAGCATGGGGCACAGCCTCATTTGCTGATTGTCTGTACCAATTTTGCAGATAAAACTCGAAACCTCAGTGGATTTAATAGCATGTAGAACTTAGACTGGCAAGAAAGATGACTGTAACCTCCAAAATAACACATTTTGGTTTGTAGACTATGGAAATGAAGCCATCAGCTTTCTGTGTGGGTGCAGCCATCTTGAGTTTGTGGGCAAAAAAAAAAAGGTTTTCACTTCTGGTTTATGATAACCTGAAAAAGGAGTGTGCTGCATCTCTTTCTAATTCATTGGGTAACCCTACATTTTATATGTTTTATTGTCAAACCAAAATTTAAGGTGTTAGATGTTAGAAAACATTTGCATGCCTGATGTTTTTCCTTCAGAAAAAAACATGGCATCTGAGTGTTTACCTTCACAGTTTTATTGGATGTTTTTGAAAATCAATGCATATCTAAGTAGAATATCACCTAATTTTCCCTTCTACTCCTTTAATTTCATAACATGGAACCCTTTGAAAATGACTCAAATATTATTTTGGGATGACAGCCCATGGTAAGTTAATTTAGTTTTACTAAGAAACAAAACATCTGGACTAATTTTACTAATCATTTCATATACGAGGCACCGTGTAACGCACCTGTTCTGCCAATCTGTTGAAGAAATGTTCTTTGCAGGTTTTTCGCACATTTCTATGTATTTGTCTTTAAACTATGAAGTATAAAGCTCTCATGCCACAATATGAAAGCCACAACAATGTTGCCCCTCCCCTCCAAAAAACCACTAAAAGACTAACAGTATAACAGTTACTCCTCCTAAGAAATCAGTCTCGTCCTTGTGAAGTATGGCAAGGCATACTGCCAAGAAGCCTGCTGGGAATTGTGAACAAAGATGCAACTTTCCAGTCTGTCCTATGTAAGAAATGACTCACCGAGCAGGGATGGCACTGATGGGCTTCTTGTAGATAGTGATGAGTTTATCTAGCACCACATCAGCTGTGGTGAACACGCGGTAGGAGTGCAGGAAGGTGTTGAGGAAGTCAATTGAAAGAAAGCGAAGATCAGTGAGTCTCTCCAGCAGACGCTCAACGCTGGCGTAGCGGATTTGAAGCACTTTGCAGGAGTTCATCATTTTACTGAAGCGAATGTCCACGTCATCGCAGTACAGACTGGAATCTGACCTGTTGGCGAAAAATGCAGAACGCTTTAAAAAAAAAGAGGCTTTGGAAGGAGCGGAAGCCGGACAGCATCAAATGAACATTTTTGCTTACTTGATCATCTGAGGCACTGTGACTTTGGAGTTGTCTTCAAAGGCGTTCATCATCAGGCCATTGCAGCGGATGTTGTCGATGCACTGCAAGACACAGGCAGTGAGGTAAACAGACGAGACAGAGGGAATGTTGGCGAGCTCTTTAATGTGGAGGCATTCGTCGAACATGCTTAGCCTCTTGTCTGACTGCCTGAGATGGTGATGTGTGTTGACGTGCCTGGCTGATGTCACTGGTCCAGGCAGACTTCTCCTGCCTCGAGGATGCCACCAGGATGACCGTGAATGACTGACAATCCTTTGGCTCCACAACGATTTTAAAGTCAAGGTGCTCCATGTCCTGTCCACTCTTGTCTGATTTAGCTTTGAGATGAGATCAAAGGTTGTGTGTAATTTACACCATAGATTTGATCAAACATACTGTTAGGACATTAACATTTTTAGGAAATTATTGTAAGTTGAAAAAAAAACTAAAACAAAAACCTTTTTAACAGAGAACAGGATTAACACTCAATTACTGGATTATTGTTTAATGATATATTTTCTCCAAGATAAGACTCAAAGTTTTCAATTGAAACTATGTTTTAATAATAACTTTCTTAGTACCCTTTTAGTTCTTTCATTTTTTGTGTTGTCTCTCTTTTTTGGTGCTCCTGCCTGCCTTTAATAATTCAACATAAAGGCTTTGTAACACACTGTAGTACTCAACCATTACATAAACCATCATACATGGTGCGAATCATCTTGCTGCAAGTAAGAATATGAATTAAACACTCACACTCATCATCTGTCCCCTCTGGGTCCTCCATAAGAGTGCAGTCTATAAGTGAGACTACTCCATTCTGAAAAATAACATGCAAAATACATTTAGTTTCTTTACATCAGCCTTGTTTGATTCTACATGCATCCTTGACTTAGATTTACATTTACACCACAAGGTTCATTAGTTTACAGAATTTTAAAAATAGAATCACACGTGCGGTTGTGACAGACTGAGAAGCATCTGTGCAAATGTGAATATACTGTGAGAGTAAACTACCTGGTAACAGTAAAACTTGCTCTATAAAAAGGACGAGGTTCAAAATGAGGAGCCGCTGCATTGCAAGCTCAGCAGCTATGGCTCACCTTGGTGAGATGAAGCTTTCCTCCAGAACCCCTGGTGCAGATGATTAAATGCTTGGAGAAGAGAAAGCACTGTCTCTCTCCCTCCTTCTTTAGAGACAGCGAGCCCAGTCGCCCACGGGTGATCTTGCCCTTCTCACTCATTGGCACCTGAATAAGCGACCCTGCGTGCAGGAAATAGAAGAAAGTTTATGTATAGAAAGAGAAATAAACACACACACACACTGAAGAAAGGTGAAGACAATAAGAAATAAAAACATGTGTTGTACATGTAGTCACTCAAAATACTAAGGCCTAAAGATGTCACAATGCTTATTGCCTGTGGGGGACATCTGATATTTACAGCTTTAGATTCATCATAATATTGCTTGAGAACAGTGTAATTATATGTGGAAATTTTGAAAATCCAAAACTGTTCTTGAGAGCAGTGTATTCTGTTCACCAGAGAGTGTAACAACCCCAACAGGGTCGATCACTGATGTTGTAAATCCCCATAAGTTGCAATCCAAAGTTTAACTCACACAGGTGGAAGTTACCTTGTCTTACAAACGTCTGGCTGGTGTCAAGGAGGACTTCACAGCCCTCTATGATCATGCGCTCTATTGCCAAGTTCTTCCTGATGTTCTCAGTCTCACTCACTTCATCGTGCATTATTCTGCGAAAGATTACATTTCGTTACTCTTGTCATGAATATTGAACACAATAAATCTTCAACATCACAATCAAGAAAATTTAGATTTTTTTTCTTCCCTGTGTCTCCAACTTCTAAAAGCCAACCTATGCCCTTGTGTATTCAATGCTGTGCCTATTGAATACCTGGAAAGCTCCTCCAGCTTGGATTTGGCATAGTCCAGGCTGTTTCTCTCTATGTGCTCATGGGGCGTGTGGGCCAGAAGCTCGTGGAGAGTAAGAATGTAGCGGGGAATCTGCCAACACAGAACAGGAAGCAACAGGGGAGTTATACCCACATGAAATAACAAATGTATACAACAGAAAAAGCATGATGAAGAAGAACAAAAATAAACTCATCAGTGAAATGCATCAACACAGCAAAGTCAAGAATAAGCCCCAAAAGGTCATTAAAATGCATCTATTGACAGAAAGGGGACATTAAAACCACATTTTCTACATTTGAAAAACACAAGGGCATTCTGCCTGACAAACTGGCTCATCTGGGATCATTAATGCAGCATATTTACATTTTGCCATCGCTAAAATGTCTGTTTTAGGCTTTTTTAGCAGTATGAAAGTATATGCAAAAGTAAACAACAGTAAACAACAATAAAGTATTTTTCCACCAAATATGAACACTATCAATATGAATTAGCTAAATCAGCAAATGTAAAAAGTTTTAGGTTTGGGAAAAATAGCCATTCCTCTTCATTCTCCATGTCAGTGATGAGTTTTTGAAATATACATCCCAAGGAAACCATTTAAATGTGTGGAGAATAAACTAGCAACAAATTCTAGAATATTAGAGGAATCTGTATTGACGTTAGTGAGACAAATGAGCTAACCTGGAACATAGGGTAGGTGAGAAAAGTCTCCAGAGTCCTTTCCTCACAGTCGGGTTTAGCCTCATACTGCTTCAGTAGCTTGTCAAAGTCCCGATTCTGTTTGCAGTGAGCCAGGATCTGCAGGCTGTACTGGTGGTTCCTCACAAACTCTTGGTAGATGTTGAGCATGGGCAGCAAAATGTCAAAAAGATCAGCTGTAGACACAAATCAGTAGTGAGTGTGGAGTAATTCAGGACAGTCATGATACTAGAGCAAACTTCATGAAAAAGGTTATACTTACCCAGCACTAATGTTGGCCAACTTGCTATTCTGGCTTTCAGACCTTGGTAAAATATCTGATGTAGGAACATAATGGTTTCACTGAAATACAAATAAATAAAAAATAAACTTAGAATAAATTGCTGCAAATATCCTGACACTGAAATTGTAGACGCTGACAAAAAGAACTTCATAATTCTTCTGGTACTGAATAAAATTTGTCCTTCAGCATATGTGTTTTTCTCTTTGTAACTCCAATGTGCTCATATGGTTACACTACTGATTTTGAGTAAGCCAAAAAGAGCACATGTGGATTGTTGTCTTTATTGTAATGCCATAGTGATTGGTTATACCTGTGCAGATAGTCCTTACAGATTGAATAAGGGCAGTTAGAATAATCTGAATGCACCTGAATCAAGCCTTTTGGATCAGAGGAGAAACTTATTCAAGACTCAGGAAAAAGATGTCAATTTTCCTTGATTTGAATCTCAAGATTACCCTAAACTTGTTGACTGAAAAACTGTAGGGACTAAAATAAATTAGGCAATTTGGTATATCTGGCTCCTGGAGGACACAAAAGGATCAAACCAGTTTTTCTACCTTTAGACCACATATAAACTTGGTGTAAGTACAAAACCGTCACACATGATTTTACCTGAAAGCATTTAAAAAGAAAAAGATGTGCATCACAGCGGTACAAAATACACAAAAAGAAGGGGAAGTTGTGAAGCTCAACTTAACTACAGCCAAGAAAATAGACCGACATCTGCATAGACATATGGTCTGTAAACACAATTTCAGTTTTCAGTTCCAAAATGCACCTGAGTTGCAATCTCCAGACTCATCAGAGTGGGATGAGGGGGAACAAAAGGGGGATCAATTTGCCAAACTGCAAGCTGCCTCTATATCCAAGCCAGTTTTGCTGGTTTATGTCCCTTTCCCCATCTTAAGTCCAACGCAACATTGACTAGTGATTTATTTAGTGGCACACAGGTACAGAAAGTTTAGCTCAAGTGTCAATGGGTTTTCTATGGTGCAGTAAAAGTGACAACATTAAGATGAAAAAGTTTGTCAAAGGCTGTATCTTTTCAAAAAGCTGGTGCTTAATGACTAAAAGCTCAAATGCATATATCAGTCCAATATGTGCTTATCAATCAGAGTGGCGGTCCACAGCTTAACTGATATTCAGAATCTAGAGGGGTGAATGGTTTCTTTAGAGAAATCAGTGGAGGGACTTTAGGGACAAAATAAGCAAACCTATTGAGGAATATGCTGCTGACATCATCATGGGTGATGGGTGGCTTCTTAGAGCTGGCAGCCATACGTAGTGGCCTCAGGAAATTGTTCACCAGGATATGAAGCTGCTGGACGTACTCTGCCTCTGAATCCAACATGCTGAACACCACCTGGTTCCTCTTCCTCATGCTCTCTGCATGAGGTGAGCGGATGTAATCCTGGATGATGGTCTTCCACTTCCTCCTGCAAATCCAGCCTCGCAAAAAGCTCTGGACCTGGAGCAAACAGCAAAGTCTGTCTGTGTAAAAAAAAACACACAATCTATCAAATACAAAAGCGAGTTAAGACTACACATTTCACCTTTTTGATCTTCTTGATTTCTGAGTCATCATCGGAAGGGGCAGCTGCAGGGCTGGCATGGATCTTCTCATTATCTTTGAGCAGCCCAGCAATCTGTCAGGGAAGCAGCCGCAAGAAAGACTAATCATTCCCACTTACACACTTCTCTTCCTCTCACTTACTGTGGAAGCTGTAAACACAAGTGAGTGACTCAACAGGACAGGACCTGTGGCCACAGTCATCACAAAATAAAAACAGCCTCAATAAAATAGTTCACTTGGCTAGTGTTTACATTCATAATCCTAAAGATATATGTGGCTGGAAAAACTTTTCGCCTTTGTGTTGACCAGAGGGGAAGTTGAAAAACTATCCAGTCTTGAGGTTAAAGTGAACAGTTTGAATCTAAGGTGTCTCTTTTATGCTTTGAAGCCACAGAAGGTATAGATTGTCACTACACTTCATAGAAGGGATGCAATATAAATAAGAATTCATGCATATAAAGAAAATCATTTTTATTTTAAGTATCAAAAAAGTTTCTTTATTAAATCAGTTACAACAGACTTTGTGGACATTCTTGACAGTTCCAAAAATAGACACTGCCATTGAGGTTTTGACTATTTTTTGACAGCAAAACCAGTTAAATCCAGTTCCATCACATTTGACAAAAGGCAGACGACTCTGAGACTGAAACCTCAATAACTTATATACTCACATCAAAACAGTTGTAATGGTTAAATAATTCTACTAGCCAGAGGAGACACATTTAAATTTGGATTGTGAAGTATTTTGTCAAAGGGTTGCCTGGAGTAATCATTCTGCTTTTTTTTGTGCCTGTTGATCTCCACTTGCCTCAGTTCACATGCTTAACATTTCTTAGCTGAAAAAAAAAACAGTGAATGTTACCTCTGACTTCAGCCTTTCAATCTCTATCTCCCCATCCTCTATCTGTTGTCGAAGTTGCTTAGCAACTGTTTTCTCAGTCTCCACAATTTGAAGCAGATGAAGATACTTCTGCATGAGAGTCTCATGCTCGGTGGCTAAGTTTCTGTAACTGTAACACATGAAAGCGCACACACACACACACACACACACACACACACAAAACACACACATCTGTATTGTAGCTTGACTCAAACATTCTATATAAGTACATGTTGTTTTATCTCTCATTAAAGCAATCAGTTGTGTTTTTCATCATATTTCTACCCCACTTTTGAAACCATGGCAACACCGTTGACAGACTAAGCACACCAGTCGGTGATTTCTTGCCCTCTGCCAACCAATTTGACGTCTATTAGACAAATCTGTACACAACACTGATGTGTCTTTACCTGGCATGTGAAATAGCTGCCACCCATTCATCGCAGTCTTTTACGTCTTCTGTTCGCAACTCAAGTGCCTTTTGGTTTTCGTGGGTGAAGCTGACAGTGAAATAGTACTGCAACAAACAGGAGGGAAAGGGGGGGTGAGTTCCAAGGATAAACAAAAGGGACTGTCAATAGTCTGACATATGTTCAGCACAGGGGGAGCATTCATTATTTAATAGATTTTAGATAAATCTGTATCAGTGCTGCTGGACTGGGGCCTATTCCCTGTTTGTTCCACTGCCTCTCTGCCACAGACATCACAGAAGTGATTTAAAACCACTGAGAGCCTGGGGAAGTCACATTGTCCCCTTCAAACCTGTGCAGCTGATGGAGCAGAGTGAGGAAGGCCTCCGTCAGCTCAGATCCTGGGATGTCTCTCGCTCCCAGGAGAAAATGTCATAAGACATGGAAGCTGGAGTCAAATACATAACTGTGCAATACCTGTTTCCTAGCAACTCTAGTCAATGTGAACAGCTATTCACATCTGTTTTGGATTTTTTTCTTAAAAAACTTTATTCGTTTTTACATTATATCAAATTATATCATAATATCTCCATCTCTTGGTCACTGTACACATTTAAATCTTTAAAATAAAACAAAGCAAAAAAAAAGGAATTGCACTGTAAACAAAATAGTGATTGCTCTCCCAATGTCTCTTCAATATCATCTTTATATGCACCAAAAACATCTTACCAATGTTCTTTCTGACAGTATAAGTCAATTTCTTAAAGGCCTAACTTGAAATCAGGTTATTTAACCAGTGGTCAACAGATATGCAATCAACATTTTGTTTTTTCTACTAAGTATTTAAGTTAAAATCCTGTTTTGCTCTTTCTTAATAATGTGTTATTGTACTCAAAATCATTAGATTGTCAGTTCTGAAGAATAAAAGTGTAAACAGCTTGTCTCTGTGGGAAAGACAAACTTCATAGCTACCAAATTATTGTGTTTATTGTGGAACCAGATGAAGAATAAACAAAGATAAATGCTAAGTAACACCACATCATGTTGTAAAATTGTACATACTGACTTGAAAAGTCAAATCGGATAAGTTTGACATGACATAAGTATTTTGTTTGATAAGTTTGAGTGATGAAATGCTTGGACTAAATTGCAGTACTGGATTTTTAAAAAAAGAGTCACATCTCCAACTACTAATTCTTACTAGCCCAGCCATGCTGAGTGAGCTCAGTGCTTGGCATTCAAATGTTCAACAGGCACCTACCTACCTACAACTGCTCATTTTTCACAGCTTACTGCTTTTGTATCTTCACATTCATAGGGCATTCATTCTGCCATCAAAGAAAATCTATTTCTGGCATAAAGGCATGCATGTTGCTGAAGTTTTCGCTCCTGATTTCACATCGAACATGGTGAATGTCTTGTGTGAGCAAAGTTAAGCACTGTCTGTTTTCTGTTTATGTCATGCATTTTTAAGAATCATTCTTATTATAGATGAAGCAATAATTAATCAGGCCATGTTGATGCATATGGATTATTTTGCTGACACAAAAAATAAAGAATATTTTGTATTTTTTGGTTTTCCTGTGCAGTGAGTGGTGAATGATTAATCAGGTATGTTTGGCTTCATTGGTCCATGCGTATAATAACTCAGATACTTTGTATAATTTCTGCAGACAGATAAACAGCTCTGTTTTATTGCAGTAATTATGTATTTTTGAAGCACATAAGAGATCTATGTAGCTCGATATCCCGTGGGGATTGAAATGTAAGCAATTATTCTACATGCATTTACTCTCAATATAATGTGATTCGTACCCTTAACAACATGGTTTCCCCCAGAGAATAACATTTTACTGGCACATATTACTCTGCTCTTTTCATTTACTGTGCAGCTTGTGAACAGCTTCCCTTGGAACTGGTTGAAGTGCTGCCCTTACCTCCGATGAGAGCCAGCTCGGTTTTCTATAATTGGACGCTGACCCTTCCACAATACCTCAAGGAACAAATTTTGCTTGGATAGCGCTTACAATAATAGAAGAGACACAACACACTGCCTCTTTCCTTTCTGTTGTTCCACCTCTCCCAACTGCATCAGTCTTTAGGATGCAAATAAGAGTTGCCATAGAAACCTTAGGCTCAAGCATTACCATTTTCACTCTAACTGGATTTAATGATACATGTTTTTCAGGGATTACAGTGGCTTGCTAAAATTTGCCCCCCAAAAATCATAAATGAGACATGAGAAGGAGGAGAGGAAATTGTGTGTTTTGAATATTTGTGTGCTTGGGGAGAGAAATCTTCTGCAGTATTATATTTTACCGTTACATTTCCTGTGCATCTGTCATTTATTTATTTCTGCAAAGTCGATTAACTGTACAGATTGTAAAATATGCAACACCGTAGAGACGTGAATCTGTGATTTCAGTAGCTTTGCAATTTCATAACAACTCATTTTTGAGGGAACAGCAATGCTGGCAAAAAAAAAGACAACATTAAAAGGTTTTTTTTTAAAGGGTGAATTTAAACAACTGTGCAAGGATAACATTAGCCATCGTGATGCATTCTGCTTTGTCAGCACAAGGACAGCTGTTCACAGGAAGAACCTGGCCTCAGTATGGACTGCAGCCCTACCTACTGAGTGAGGCACAGAGGAGAGGAAGGCTCTCAGTGGAGAATTATGTTCCGTGACTCTGTAGGCACAACAACAGTGTTAACAAGCCTGTTAGCCTTTTTTACTCTTCTCTTAAACAAAGTTTCCTATTTAATAATAAGACAGTTAGAATTAAGCAGGAAAAGGACAATTTCTCATTTTCAGATTCTGAAATTTGACAGATTTACAAAACTGAGTGAGTGCACTATTTATAGCCACCACGCTGTCAGTTCATTTGGTGGTGACATCATTGACAGACCTCGGAGAGTAGTTAACATGTTGGCAATAATGCAAGTGTAACCTCCAGCATAACACCCCAGACTGAATCATTCAATTCAGGTCATCTAGATTAGAGCTGACTGATCACTGCCCCCCCGCTGTTTCCCTGAGGCGCAACTGTAGTTACACCATTTCACCACAAGATGGCAACATCGAGGACACAACTTTTTTTCTGTTTTTTTGTGTTGTGCATGATTTATTGGTGGGGGCCTTATGTAGGACCTAACTCTCTCTCCACCCTAAAACAGAAAAAAAAACAACTGGAAGTCAAAAGCAAAATATATACTCAAACAGAATACATTAGTTTGAAGGAGACATACCTAGGCTATTTAATTGAAAACTACCCTGTCAGTTAAATATAGTATTTTTTTATAGAAAAAAAAGCTTGGTGCAGCATAAATAACACTGCACAGCCTCTTACCAAGGCTGTTGATGTATCGTTAAGCGTTAGTATTGCTACCTCATCATTAAACACGTGGATTACATAACACAATAATGCCAACCGAAGCCGTGTGCTTTTTCCTTAACACTTGATCTGAGGACATAATGAAATGGTTTGTGTGGAGAATCAGCACATTCTTTTGGGAAATAAGAGTTCAGAGGCTCGGCAGAAGACCGCACTCTTAGTTATTGCACATCGTCCGCATTTCAGATGTGAGTCTGAGAAAACAATGAAGCACACATGCACGCAGCAGAGTCGTGCACGCACGTGTACATATGTGTGAGCACGCGCGCGCACACACACACACACACACACACACACACACACACGCTCTCCCTACCTGCTTTTCCAAACACTCCCTGGCCGACAGTGAAGGTTTTGGGGAAGGCGCCCTGTCGCATAAGCACCCCTCCAACAGGTATAATCCCGAGGGTCGAGAGCTGGACTCGTTCTCAAAATAAAAGAGCATGTTCTGCAACAAAGCAAACCACTTTGTGTGCCATTTTGTGTTGTCTGAGCTCTTTTTGCTCAAGCACCCTCGCCTTGTACCATCCTTCTTTGCCAAAAGCCCCAGGTAGGTGACATGCCCATCATTGAGTCGTATTCCTTTTTGCATTTTGATGAGGACGCTCCAGCCGCACAAGGCTGGCTCAGTCGTTACATCCTTCTGAAGTCAGATAAAGAAGGACACGATGTTGACTTTCTGAATGCGGACCTCTGGCAGCGGGCTCGTCCACTCCGTCCGACGCATTCACCGTGTTGGCATTTAACTAAAACGGGATGAACAAAAGCGAGGAGCGCAAGTCCAGCATCCTAGAATGTTTTGTCATACTCCTGGCGCTTTAGGGGTCCTCATTGTCCGGCTGGGAGGGGAGGGTGGGGAGAAAAAAAAGAGAGGAGGAAGACGATAAAAGAGTCACAGACGCAAGATGCGAGGGAAGGGGGTTCGAGGTCCGTTTCTCTCACATCAAATCTCCAGAAACCAATTGGCTTGTTGCTGAGCTAGGCAGTGCTGGTTGAAGTCACGTGACGCTGCTTGGGAAGGCAGATTTCAGAACCTTGGAGAGGGATGTCTCAAAAAGATGCTGCTTGGGTGGACTTCCTACTGGAGACTAACCACCAGCCCCACACAGGCGATTTAGTGGAGAAATAACAACTTTTATTGACAGCATCCATCATTATAATTGAAAAGTTCTTCAATGTTCTGTGCTATTACGTAAGGGTCTTTTAAAATAAAAATTCAACATAGATCTGGAGATTTATTTTTGCCTATGTAAAATGTATGTCCCTCTATTACCTTAATTTGAATGTAAAGTCTACTGGCAGTGAAGGACTGGTTTGAATACCTAAAGAAATCTTGGGTCCATCACATAGTTGTAACAATAATGATTCTGGCACCATGCAATATTTAAAAATTACCTTCCATTCATCCATCATGACTTTGTGTTTCACAATTCACAAATCATAGGTCAATGTTTTTTTATTTGTTAGAAAGGGTGTTAAATAAATGAGTAATTAGATTAAACTGAATGCTTGTTGTGGTTTACCCCAGTTTTTGAAACATCTTAAACAAGCCTCATGTTTCCATCCATCCATTTGGTGAGAGGTGGAGTACAGCTTGAACCGGTCAACAGTCCACAGCAACAAGTAGAACATTAACCAAATGCAAAAGAATGTGTGTGTCATCAGTTAAACCCAATGTGACAGGAGAAGGGGTAAGAGAACATCAGTTTGGCCATAAACTAATTTGGGATGATGCAAAGGTTATCACAGCTGTCGGGGTTTGAATTAATTTGCATATGTGCCTCTATGTTAGAGGCTGATAACACTTTACATTGTGTATTATATGAGCCCTGGTACAACACAGCTGGAAATATGTGAGGATCATCCTGTTCCACGGTTCAAAGAACTTTGGATACGTCTCTTCAAATATATTTTTTCAAAAGTCACTTTGATAGATTATCAATTTCCTGTGCATTTGACATGATTTGAGTGAGACATATATATTAAGGGCAGCGAGGGATCAATGACATGCCTGATCTTGTTTTAGTCCTACAGAATCTTCACAGGACGAGCCGGGGTTTGCACTAATTGATTGAAACTGTGGCTGAGCTCAGCTGCCATATCACTATGTGGGTTAAGCTTGTCTGAGAGTGTGTGGCCCTAATGGTAACTGAGCATGAAAAATGTTAATACTTCTCAAAAGTGATGGTTTGGAAAAATGGAATATTGAAGCAATCATCACTATTCAAAGTAGCTATTTTAAACTTAGCGTGTGTTGTGAGACCGCCGCTGGTCATCCATGACATCTTCACCGGCCATACATGGCTGTCAGCCCTGTTTGACACCATGATCTGTGCCTCAGTGTATGTCTGTCAGTGGGATTGTGCGTGTGTGTGTGAAATGGTTTCTGAAATAGCTCCGAGGGCTGTCACTGTTCAGCAGACAGTGCTGCTGTAGTGTCCTTGTCCTTCCCTGAGCTGCCTATGAAAAGGCTCCAATGCTGATTATATGATCCACCAAGCTTCTAATTCGCCATACTCCTCTCAAATGACATTTACTAATTACTCCTTCCTTTTTTAGAAACAGCTTTCTCAGTTTTATCTAACCCCCCAAATGCTTATTGCCATGTAGAAACAAACAGCTTGGCTGTTGTGGTGGTCACACCCCATTTGATTGAAATAATGTAAGCAAATAAAAATAAAAAACAGCTTAACATCATTATTTAAATCTAAAGCATGATGTTGTTTACCTGTAGTAACTATTGGAGACATGTGCAGGGGATAGGAAACCAAACTGTCAATGCAAGTGTATGAACTTTTTTCCTTTTGTGTTGAAAATAGTTAAACCACATATTAGTGATAGATCTATGATAGATAACTGTCCATTTTTGGGATGCCTCAGCATTTCCCTCTTCTTGTGCAGGTGAGTTATCCACAAAGTGAAGGGCATATATTGTTTTATTCTGTCTATATTATGCAAGGTTTTATGCTGTTAATATATAATTATTATCTAAACATAATTTGTGAGTTATCAATTAGATATATGATGACTTTGTTGCTATGTCGTCACTGTGTTAATGTATTAAAAAAAAAACAGGTAAACATCCTCTCACTACGCGGCTTAGCTGGCACTTATTGATGTAAAGAGATTGCACGTAAATTCTGTTTGATCATGGCATGCTGCAGATTGTATCTCTTACAAGTTAAAAGTCGAACAGTCGTTGGTTTCTCTGGTTCACTGGTGTTGAGGTGGAAGAGGAACAATTACATAATCAAAGACAATATTTGATATTTTGGTAAGGCTTGAAATGAAAAACAGGTAAAATATTTCATGCATAACAAAGTGAAATACTGTACTATGTCAGCTTTATTCATAAAGCACTTTCACACAACATAAATTTAAACTAAGTGATGTAAACAAATAAAACATACAAGAAGATATAACCAAAAACAGAAAAAATAAAACATCAGATATGATTGAAACCAGTTATATTTCTGTTCCAAAAAGCAATTAGAGCATTGAGTTACTTGGGTAACTCAATGGTCCCTGAAGTGACCAAGGAGTGAAGACTGAATACATGGAAGCTTATTATGGAGAATAACCATAAAGAATGAAATATTCAAACTTTTTTTTTTCCAAATTAATATTGAAACATTTTGTGTTTGTGTCCGTGCTGAACAGATCCAGTCGAGTTGCTGTACAGCTGAACATGTGTTAGGGACTTTAACTAGAATGGAGGCAGGCATGTCTAGCTGATGTTCCCCAACCTGGCAGGCAGACATTGCTCCCACGGCTGCTCCCTCTCAACTCGGGCTGTTTCTCCAGTGTCAAAGCCATTTAGACTGCCTGCCCATCACAGCTCATGAAAGGGGGAGTGGGAGACCCTGGACCAGTGTGAAACAGAGGATACTACTGGTCATGTCATCCATGCTTCAAAAGTATCATCTGTAGAGATGCATTGAGGTACATTACAAAGCAAATTAGCATTTTTTTCTTTTTCGTTGGTTTTAGCAAAAGATAGAAAAATGACATATGTCGTATGCTGTCAGTGCCATCATTTACAAGCACTGCGTAGTAGAACAGAGATTTTTGAACATCCCCAGGGATCTCAGAGTTTTGATAACATGCAGGAAGTGCACATTCAGATTTCAAGTGTGCCTGCTTCTTCACCCACCAGTTTAAATCTATTTGATCTCTTTTTCCCACTTTTATACTGGCACATCAATATCTGGGTGTGTCAATTAAGAGACAGCCACATGGGGACAACATACCGTTTAAGTAACATTTTGCTGTAACATCCACAGTGTAGACTGTCAACACAACAACATCCAGTCATGTCTATCATATCTTATATCATACGGCTTTTTACCCCACATACAGACATCTATTTTTAAAGGCACGGAAGAAACAGCGTGGACTGTTCAAAAACCCTATTTTAAGAAATAGTATATGAATTATAGAGAAAGTACCAAACAAAGTGCATTGCACTTCTTTTCTGCTGACCTGAGTGAACAGAGAGGGGGGTGAGCGGAGAGTGTCTGTGATGAGTGACCACAGACTGGTCTCGGAGTGTTGGTGGGCTATGCGATGGCAGGATCCCAGCTCTTGGCAGCAGCCTAGGTCATTGTGATTTGTGTGTGCTGCTGCCTACAGGGTAGCCTCCTGGCTGTCGCTTCCTCCAATCTATCTGGGTTACACTGAGTGCATTCACAGCAGGGCTGTAATTGAATTTCACTCGTTACAGTCAGCTTAACTGTGTTTTCTGCAAGGTGTGTATCTTTTTTTTTTCCATCTTGACGTGCTTGATATTTACACGGACATATTGCCTTCAGCTCTCCCGTGCCTTCCTCACCTCATCTCTTGTATAAATATCTGTCCCTAGCACTTTCTCTTCAAGAACTGTTTCATTGGTTTGTTTTTGTAACCTTTCATCGTTGCATAAACCCTACATTGCATGATGTAACCACTTGTAGGAATAAATGATCACTGCAGACAGAATCTTGTTAGACGTGTGGTGTGGAAAAGTAAGAGAGGCTGGATGTGCCAAACTAAACCCTATAAAGACGTATTTGAATATAATAAAAATTGCCTTGCGAGTCCCTTTAATTAATTCATTTGCTGTTAAGTTTTTCTTTTGGTTTCTGCTTGCGTAGCTTAAGTCTCAAAACTGCTCGGTTTGGTTTGGGCAACAGCACTACTTTCTGAGTCTTGGCTTTAAAATAGAGATTTGAATTCTGGAAACCTTTAACCATATTTCCAAGGTTACCATGGTGATGAATTCCATGACAGTTTATGGCAGTCATCAAATGGAAAACACCCTGCAGTTTAAAAAAAAAAATTGTTGTGGTTTCAGGAGCATCGAAATGGAAAAGGGTCAGAGCTTCAAGAAACAAGAAGTCAAATTTAATGTTTTATTTAAATGGTGACTGTAACTGATAAAGAAATGTAGAGATAAACAGTCTGTGATGCATCTCTATTCAATAAATGTAGGATAAGTTTTATTCTTTATACTGACTGTAAACCACAAATAAAAACGCTTTTTAGTACAACTAAATAGTCAACATAAGATAAGATTTTTTAAACTTACGTTTGCACAGCAGCATTTGCCATTCCATGCCATACTGTACAATTCTATATTAGAGACAAACACTCTCTTCAAAGTAGGCCAGTTTCCAGTCACTATAAATAAAGACAGTAATGTAATGTGGCAGAGCCCGAGAAGGGAAGGCAGGGTGTCTTTCTTCAGCTAATATGAACTCAGAGGAGACATGTAAACAAGTCCATCCATTGCATAATCGTCCGCTTTCTCCAATAATAATCTTCTCCCATTTTACTCATCCATTCCTCATCATTTTTTCGGACTGCTCACTAACCCCTCAGACACTGATGATTGTTAATATTGTCTAATTATGTATTTCACTTCCACTCACAATGCAGTGCTGCCTCACAGCCATGTAGATGATCTTTTATCAGCATTCCTAAGGACACTTCACAAATGAAAACTTAATTTGTAGTTTCTATCTATGAATGTACTATTTCAGGTAGCCTATGGTATAAACTCCTTTAAACATCAGCAGTGTCTTATTGCATATAGTCATG